GGGGGGGGGGTGAAAGTCTTCACCGTTGGCTGTACTCCGAGGAATCCAGAGCAGTTGTCAGATCCACAGTGACAGGACATCCTCCTGTTGCCCACACAGTGCAGGTTGTAGTTGAAGGTCAGCTCTGTGCCTGTGAGAACAACACCTCACAGTAAATGCAGCTTTGAAAACAAAAACAAGCACCCCAGTCCATCTGAACTCACCAGCCTCAATATCATAGAGCGCAAAGAGCCCAATGCGCACGTCTCCGTTCACCGTCCACTTTTGGGTTTCACAGTTTGGACTGCAGCTGTGGTTCATGAAACGAGACGAGTTTCCTTTTGGGCCAGCGTCTATCACACGATCCTATCAGGAAACAAAGACACCAGGGTTAAGATGCTCTTCACCAAAACTTTACTGTGTGGCTGTAGAATCAACAGCACTTCTGCATACTATTTTAATCATCCTCATTTCAAAAAGTTCTGCTCATTCAGTAGATCGGTGCTCAGACTTTTGGATTTTGTAACGTTTATATTTTTCTAAATGCCCTTGGGCTGCGGAAGCTCATTGTTTATGTTCCGCAGCCTTGTAATCCTGAGGTTCAGGACTGGTTCAAGCCCAAGTGGCAACAGGAAAGGCATCCAGGATAAAACAATTAGTAATTTATGCGAGTTCACTTGCTGTGACAACTGCAAAAGGAGCAGCTAAAAAAAAAAACCAACACTTTCTAAAAATGTCAATTTTTACAATTATTTTCCCCCTAAAATACATCGAGCTCTCTTTAGTTCCTTCAACATTGTTCTCTTTGAAATGTTTTTTGTATTTTTAATCTTCTTATGCTCCTTCTAGTTTAGCTAACATTCTGCTACTTTTACTCAACCTTTGGCTACTTTACAAGTCATATGATACTTTCAGCCTTTTAACTTTTACTTAACGTTTTACTACTTTAGCTTTTAGTAGAATTTTTGTTATTATTAACTAGCCTGTTGCTACTTTTAGCTTCTAGCTATCCTTGTTATTTTTAGCTTTAAATAGCCCGTCGCGGGCAGCACGGTGGCGCAACTGGTAGAGCTGCTGCCTCTCAGCGAGCAGGTCCTTGGTTCAAACCCCGGTCCAGGGGCCTTTCTGGGTGGAGTGTGCATGTTCTCTCCGTGCATGCGTGGGTTTTCTCCGGGTACTCCGGTTTCCTCCCACAGACCAAAAACATGCATGTTAGGCTGATTGGTAACTCTAAATTGTCCCTAGGTGTGAGTGAGAGAGTGAATGGTTGTTTGTCTCGTTTGTCTCTATGTGGCCCTGTGATGGACTTGCGACCCGTCCAGGGTGTACCCCGCCCCTCGCACAGTGATTGCTGGACATGGGCACCAGCGACCCCCGTGACCCAAAATGGAATAAACGGGTAAGATAATGGATGGATGGATAGCCCGTCGCTACTTTCAGCTAGCCGTATAATACTTTTTGCTACCACCTTGCTACTTTTAGCAAGCATTTTGTTATTTTTTATTTTTAGCTAGCATTCTGCTTCTTTTAGTTACAAGAACTCATAGCTTCTTCACTAAATTTCAGCAAAGTCATTCAGCACAGAGTATTCAACTGAAATTACACACAAAAAAATAAATCTCTTATTTGGATTAAAGGTGGGGAACTTTTCTGTTTTACGTTAACAACGTGTTAGGATCTAATTCAGTATAGAGCTCTCTGCATCAGCGTCAGGTGTGTTACCTTGGTGAGTGTTAGCATGTAGAAATTGGTCACGTGATTTTCATGAGCTCGTTTGATTCGCTGCTGGCACTCCTCAGTGTCTATAACCTCTCCCACGTATTCAATCACAAAGTCCCCCTGGAGAAAACAACAAACATCATATTTTTACTGCTCACGACAAAGCACAGATGACCTTATTTGAAATTATAAAAGTGGAAATGAACGCTGAGATAAACTTGACAGGATGTGTAAACGCTGATCTTCTGATCGTCACGTAATACGGTTGCTCGTCTGGCAGGTGATAATCAAAAACTATGGAAAGTTTCTTTTTATACCGACATTTCTGAAAACTGTCAGCGTATGAGCATCTAAGAGTCAGTGCTGTAAAGGAAGTGGTGAAAAAAAACACACTAACGTCAAACCTCTTGTAAATGTATTTTTTCATGCTTTTTTATTCGCCTTTCAAAAAGGCTCAGATTTATAACTGTATATTAAAGTGACCAAGTAAATTATAACATATAATCAAAAATAAATATATATCTCCACTACACTCCCATGTCTATGATTTACCAAGTATCATGACCCAAGTAAAAAGAAATACGTTAATTATTTAGAAGGTGGTGAAGTTCCAGATGCAGGTTCATCAGGGGAAATGGTTCAGTTCAGACTTGCAGCAACCTGTTTCATGTTGACCCCTAACTTAAACCGAGGTGAAGCATCCTCTTATCATTTGAAATTGTAATTCATTATGACAAGTCATGATTTTTTCCTTTGGTCCTGCTAATCTATAATGAATCATAAAAAGCACATTTTCTTTTGTTGGTTGAAAACGAGTCATTATTTAGCTCTTTATATGACCAAAACAAAATGGAGGAGCAAGTCAAAGAATTGGTATGGAGCCATAAATTTAGTTCAGGTCAAACAGTCGATACAAATAGTTTTTAGGAGATAAGCCTTGACATCAAACCTCCCACTCACCTTTCTGAGGGCTTGGTTTGTCTTAAGGCCCCAGCCGCACCCCTCCGTCTTTAATACCTCAGTTTCTGCGTGCAACCGCTTGAAGAAACACTGATTCTCACATCTGTCTCCTGCAGGGCACACCTGATAGCAACAATATGAATATTATAAATAAGGTGTTACAAGCTTTGAAGCTACTCTAGTGATTTGATACAGAAAAGAAACGCACAGACCTGTGGATGACACTCGTACTGAAGCATGCGGTTGAGACATTGAGAGTCGAGGCTGCATGGATGCTCGTCTGTAGGTTTGCAGTTACATCGTGCGATTTCTGACAAGTCAGCCACATGCAACTGCACTTTACCCACTGGCTTGTTGGACTGTTAAAAATATAACATGGACACATTAAACCAACTGTTTGAACTTTTACTTTGTTTGTTTTAGTAAAGTATCTAAAAAGTCAAACCTTGATGGATTTGTATGGTGGAGGTTTGTGAGAGTTACGTTCCTGCTCTAGAGCCTCCCTGCTCTCCCTTTGAGCCTTAAGCTCCTGAAACCTCCGGGCCGCTTCTTCCAGAGCTGAAACATTAACAAAACATCTCAGACCACACTTTCTCCTTCAGCTTAAAAATAAAAACAAAGCCCCACTCCATATTAGCCTTTAAGTGGGAATACACTTTCTAGGCAGAAATCACCTTTCTTGAAGGTTTTGTTGATGTTAATTTGACCCGTCACAAAGTTCTTGTCATTCTCCACGTAGGGAAAGACCCGACCTTGGTTGATCCAGTAGTAGTCGTGGGAGCCAAAGAAGAAGACGGGGAAGTTACCGATATCATGGCGAAGGCTCTGAATGTTTGATGGCACCAAACGAGGATTGCAGATCTCCGCCGGCCACCACCTGTTGGAACGAGACAAAGAGCAATAAGAGAAGAAACAAACAAGAAAACAATCGCAAATTCTGAGGTTGTTATACCCTGAAGGTGGTACCAGATTATTATTATTTTTTTTGCAAAATGTCTGCAACTACTTAAATTTTTCTATGAAAACTTCAGATGAAGATATTTGAGAAGATTATATACAAATTAAAATTATTTTTTGTTATTATTATTGGGATATTCATGTCTGGTTAAAATAATTGGGGGGATTTTTCTTGAACGCTTGAATATCGTTACAAAATTTATTTCCAGCATTATGCAAAAATATATTTATAGATAGACTGCTCACATTTGGTTGTTGTTGCTGAATGTCAGTCGGTGAGGCTTTAGTCCACTTTCATTGACCTTTGACCCCCCTTTTGCATTTTATTTTTTTCCTCTTCTGAACTCCTTTACTTGACTCAGAGGCATGAACTTCTGTTTATGTTTTAAACAAAAGTCAAGTGCAACAGCTAAATATTTTTTTGTTTTGTTATAGCACATTAGTTGTTTTTTTTATTCATGTTCAAATATAGTGTACAAAGATGTACATCACCAGTGAAAAAATTATTTGTTTAAACTTGCAGAGGCAAAATTATGATGCCTTTTATTCCAGCTTTACTGTTCAATTTGTATAAAAAGGTATTATGCGCCTCGTCTTGTTTTGACAGCGTGGATGTTGTAAACACTTCAGCACGAGTTGCACCTTGTGTGATCACATTATTACCCACAGATTGAACTTCAGCTGTAACCACAAAAGTATACCATGTCTTCCAGCTTAATTTTAGGAATTGTTTTAATTAATAGATAGTTAAATAGATAAATAGTGTTAACTTGTTATGAATGTTTCTGTTCGGTGCCCTGCGATGACCTGTTGTGACTTGACGCTATAAATAAACTGAATTGAATCGAATACAATTGCCAGGTCAGGGAAAGTAATGCTGAAGGACAGAGGTGACAAGGGAGGCACATATGAATAAAAATAGATCAGCTGGTCTACCACACAGTAGGAAAAACTGAGAAGAAAAAATAAAAATAGGTAGAGCTTGACATAAAAAGTGCCACTTAGAATTTTTTATTTTTTTTTCCTTTACAGCAAATGAAGTCTTATTTTTATGATATTTCTGCTACAAGTATGTATCCACAATCCTGACAAATGGGTAGTAAGAAAAATATAAACAAGCAAAAATGGCTGGACTTCTTCACATGTTGGTTCTTTTTTAGCTGTAGTGGGGGCTGGCTGGGTGAACTCAGCAAAAAATTCATGTGCCTGATTTTTTGTTTTCAAAATCTTGGAAAGCCTAAAACTCCAGAGCTGTGGTGCATCTCTGAAAACAGCACCACTCTGCTCAGTTTCCTGATTAACAGCAGAATCTCATCCTGGTTTTGTGTAAAGTGTGAATCAAATGTGTTGATCCAAACATAAAATACTTTTGAGATGCAAAAAAAAAAAAAAAAGTAATTTTGGCAATCTGTAAAATAAAATCTTGGGATTGTACGTGTAAATGTAGTCACATCACATACTGAGGGAAGAATAACCCTCAGCATACCTTACTTGACACACTCTGCCTACCTGTAGTTGCCCAGTTTGACCCAGACAATTTGTTTGTAGTGAGGTTTCTTCCCTGCCCTGCAATCACTGCAGGACCAGGCACCTTCAGGCATCTCCATCTCCAGACACTCAGGGTGGAAGGAAGCTGGGCATGAGTCGCAGCACAGCAACTTGCCTCCTACATAGGATATACACATGTGTTTGTGTGTGCGTGTGTGACAGTGAGTGTATGTGCATGCGTATGAGAGTGGGTATGCAAAGAGAGGAGTGTATGATTAGGTGACGCACATTTATTTCTGGACAAACTCTGAATCTCAGTTGCAGACAAGCTTACAAATCTGACAAAACCTCCAAAATATGGAAACTAATTATGGTTGTCCATCTTTTGTGAGATAAAACATCATTTGTGCATGAAAAAAGTTGAAATGGGCCAATTTTTTAAAATGAACTAAAGGCTCCTGTGACAGCAACACTGCATTAAAAAGGTCTGAAATGTTTGGAAACTCCATGTGCATCTCAGCTTGGTATTAACTTCTACAGAAGTTGCAGCATGTCTGGCAATCAGATTCAGAGCAGTGTACCAAAACCAGTCTATGGGAAGTACATGCGGCAGCACCGTCAGCCAACAAGTAGAAAATAATCAGCGTTATGCTCAAACAGCACATCATTGGCAATAAGCAGGCATGCAGTCCTGCCAGTGAAGCAAACGTCTTCCACCCCACATCACATCCTGCACAGACCAGCTTGCATGGAATTATGTGGTCACAGTATTTCAATAGTGAGGAAATTCCAATACTAATAATTGAAATAATGATAATAAATGAGCTGTAATGCTTGAATAAACATTAAAACTTGTTTCGAAAGTACACAAATCTGTTCCTGACAGGGATTGCATTCCATCCAAGGCAGGTCCAAGCAAAAAATAAATTAAATAAAATGCAGGGAGCAAAAATATCACATCTGAAAATGTCAGTGCAAAATAAATAAATACAATGTGTAAAAAGCTGCAGTCAGCATTAAAGAGGTGAGGCTAGACAAGGCCCTTCAAATCAAAAACAAGCCCAGAGTGCTGAAGCAGAGAAGCAGTGCACCTCCAGATCCAAAAAAGCACAACCTGAATTAACCCAGAACATCCTGCAGCAGAGCTTCATACAGAGGCTTGATGACAAGTTATGCTTCGCCAGCAGAGAAAGTCTTCTGCTAAGCTTTTTTTTTTTTTTTTTTTTGCGAAGATGCCATTTGTGCCCAGATCATTGGTGCATAAATAATCCCATAATGAGCCTTATGCAAGAATCTCTTATATGAAGAGAACAAACACAAATTAACTCTTTTTCAACAAAATACGAGAGAAAGGAAACCATGAGGTGCCAGGATCTGTCTTGTAGGCCAACATTTTTACTGTTCATAGAAGGAGAAGCATAAGTGCTTCGAATGAGGGACCCTGAAATTGGCTTTTTATGTCCATGTATGCTTTTTCATGTTAAAACACTGCAAGTTTCATCTTTGGAGGACACACAAAGCTAAAGTCTGGGACAACAATCCCTAAAAAATATTCTTGCATGAGGCCCATTTTTCCCTTGCACTTGGCTGAAGTCACTGTGCATCTCTCAGCATTAAGATAAAACTGCATGCTTAAATCAGTTAATTAACTTTGAACTTCAAGGCTTTGAAAATTTTGGGAAAAACGTATGCAAAATAAAATAAAATAAAGGAGGGGAAACTGAATCAGAATGGGCGCAGGCACAACACAAACACAGACCAGTGGGACAAAGGAGAAAGAGAAAAACGGTTCAGTTACCTTTCCCAACATTCTTTTTGGTAGCTGACGAAGGAGAGGGAATCATAGGTAATTTCAACTCAGCACGATTTGACTCAGTCAGAAGGTAGTGGGACTTATAGGCATATGAACTTAATATGGTGTCAGTAAGGTCTTGCACTAACAGCCCTACACAAGACACACAGGAAGAGACGGGGGTGAGCCGCAGTCAAACTCGAAATTACCCAAAACTTTCACAAAAGAGAAACATATATGCACAACCACGCACACTCGCACTGCTTCAACGTAAAAAACAAACAAAAAAAAAGAAAAAGTTTGTCCCAACATAAAGAGGCCAAACAGTGCACTCAACTTATTGTTAAGTGTCAGGCCTGATTGAATAAGTCACTCAAATAAAATGAAAAACAAATTGTTTTCTTCCTGATCAGCATTCAGAACAGATATTTTGTCAAGCGGAGTGCAGTGTGACAGCCTGAGTTACAGCCAGAGTCATTACTGTGATGGAAAACAGACGTTACAGTTCACAATGCGGCTATTTCAGAACAAAAATATCGAACACGAAACATAAAATAACCAGTCTAAACATTCAGAATCTAAAGGTGCTACTGCAGGAGAAGTGGCATTAAAAAGTGTTGGAATTTCTAAAAGGGTAAATAACATGAAGCCACAGAGAGGGATCTGATGGTGCTGAAAGAAGCCAGTTGAAGTGATGAAGTTAAGGGTCATTTTTAATCACGCTGTGGTTGTGGTTGGGTGGGGGATGTGAGTGTGCATAATTGTGGAGACTTACCTCTGGCACACAGAAAGCACCAGCCCACGTTGACTGGGGAGCTGAGGAGTCCGTTCTTCTTGGCGCTGCCGTGATTGCTGCAGATCATGATGTGATGCGTGAGGATGACGCTGCCTGCTGCCAAGCAGCTGTCGCCAGGGTGGTACGCCAACGGGCAGCGGATACAACGTATAAGACGACCTGGGGACGTAAAAAAATGCTCTTTTTTAACACTAAGTACTGTCATGTCATGTAGCTCTGAAGCACTACAGTCCTTTCACGAAAACAAATTGGCGATTAATTGTCTCAGAAATTATTGTGATAAACGATAATATTGTTTGAAATTTGACAATAATTAGTAATTATTGTCAAATTTAAGAAGAAATGTTGGCTAATTTGCTTTGAGTGTAGTACATTTTTTGACCACCGGATGGCAGTATAAGACTGTTTGAACCAAGGATGAATAGTGAGGGAGGCCCCTTGACGTGACATGGGCTGTCTCACGCTCATTTTTTTTTGGTTCTCAAAATGGTTGATGCTCAGTGTGGTTTGAGCTCTTTAGCATAGCATTTTTCACACAAAGCTTTTAATTAAAAAATCAGTAAACAAGTTCTCAGCTTCTTTTTGCAGAGAAAAACAACTTTTTACACGAAAGCACGGGTTTCAACTCTGAATTTTGGAGCTTTGACAAAACGGAGGTCCCCCCAGGTCGGACTGTTAGCTTAGCTCGTAGCTTAGCTTCTCAGCTTAGATGCTTTTAACGATCAAAAAACACTATTTTAGATGGTTAAAATGGATTTTAAAGAGAAAAGAGAAAGGTCAGCGAAGAGCACTGGAGTTGAGCCTTTTGTCATCCAGTGTCTTCAGAAAGAGAAAGACATGAAGAAACGATAAAGACGATAAATACAAATGAAGTCGATAATTTTAATTTATCATGCGATTAATTGATTTATTGTTTATCGCGACAGACCTACAGTCCAGACCAAACTTTTTAATCTCCCTCTGCGTTGCATAAGACTGCGCATGACATCACACTTATAAGGTTTGACCAAAACTATAACTCCATCCCTTCACCTTGTTAGATGATTTTAATTTAAATCTCTGACACGAAAGATGGTGGTTGATGTACATTATTTCAAGGAATGCTAGACCTTTAATTATGCATACTTCTGAGATGTGCTTTAGGAACAACTTTTCTGAACAGACAATGAAACAAATATTTGATGACGTCATTATTGGTGCATCAAAATAAATTACTGACAAGCAAGGAGAGATGCACTTTATGGCTGAACTGAAAGCACAATGTGATAAGAAGCTGCAAACCAACAAAATAATTCAAGGCAATAGGATAAACATTAACGTTTATGTTGTAAATCTGTTTAATAACACTTTGAAAAACTTTTTTTTGGGGATTACCAACATAGCCAAAACAGTAAAACCACTTTATATTGCTAAAAGCTGGGACCTCAGTATCCATCTTTGTTCCTCATGTATTCATTAAATGTCCATTAAATCTCCTCGAATCCTTAAATAATGAATTATATTTGGTCTCAGAAGAACCAAATTTTACTTGTTGGGCTCTCCTTGTGATACGGGTTTTCTGGGTGAATTTCTTTCCTTTTTTCAAGATATTTGTAAGAGCTCTATAGACCATAATTTACAAACATTTTCCAGGAACACTTTAGTAACTATCTTGAAAGGGTCTTTAAATACACCTCACCATGACTGAACAAAAACTATTTTAGCTTGGGATAGAACTGGATGTTCCAAGCAAGAATGTGCCATGAAATACATTGAATGAAATGCATTAAAAGTAGTTTTTCCTTAAAATCAGTTCTGATTTGCTCTAATAAAGTGCACACAAAAGGCTTTTAGTACCCAATTCTCTACATGTTGTCAATGAAAGAGATGCTTGACCTTTCTTTTATGAATAATTTTGAAATTTTACACTTTTTTCCCCCCTTTTCTGACCCAGAAGAGGACTTGTCGGGCTTGTTGTACAGCTAGGCTCATACAGTAACTCAAAAAGCTGTTCTACCTTTACTGGCTCGTTGCACGTCTCTCTCCAGGCAGCACGTTGAGCAGCTGTGCTGTGGGCAGCAGAAGCCTCCACTGGAGCTGATGGTGGTGCCCGGGAGTTTCCGAACGCACTCCTTGTGATAATAACAACCACATCCAGAGACCGAGCAGCGGGTTACCTCCCGACCAGCTGATTTGCAGCTAAAACAAGGATGATTGCCTGAAGAACGAAGCAACATAAGTTTGTCTAAGTAATAAAAATTAACTGCTGAGGGATAGAAACAAAATAAACGTAGATGCTCTTACCATTTTTACATTCAGTGCAGATGAATCGACCTTCAGGTGGAGACGACAGACCAAGACACTCCAGGTGAAACTGCCGGCTGCAGTCCCCCTCACACACGACTAAACCTTCTCCGTACACCTCGCAGATCTGCACACCACATGGAAATGATGGCACATCATCATACAGCTTCGTGTCTGTGTGCCTTTGAGCGGAAAAGCGTGGAGATAAATCCTGAGCAGTACTGACCTGGCACACAGTGTCTGTCTTTTCGGTGCTGCTGTCCTGACGAGACAAACCAGAATCCACAGACTGAGTATCTGAAGCGTCTGCATCTGCCGCTGCTGGACTGTCGAGACTCTTCCCAAATAAACCCTGGAGAATTTTTTTGTTGCTGTATTATCAACTATTATTGACTTGAGCTTTGTTAAACAAAAAATAACAAATTTCCCTTTATAGAAGGTTAAAGCACAATTTTCTGGTTAAAAATCGAGACGAGTAAAAATAAACATGTTAAGCAACGATTTATAAATATTTGTTTTTCCTGCATCACAAGCTGCAGATTCCTTTGAAAGCAAAGCAGAGACAGTCTGGTGCTATTTATTCTACAGGATCAACATATTTTGTTTGCAGCGTTTTCCTTTTTGTGCGTTTAGTCTTTGTTTGTGTTTGAAGCCCACCTGTGGGTCGTTGAGCCCCCTGGAGTCAGAATCCGATGTGTCTCTGTACTGAGACAAAGCCATTTCTACATCTGTCGACGCTCTGCTTCGCTTCTTCAGGGGCTTGCATGCATCCGAGATCTCGCTGGCTCCTTATGGATCAAACATTTTGATATTTTTTAATTCATGAGGAGTTCCTAATCAGAAAAGTTTAGATTTAGAGCAGGCGTGAAATCATAGTCTCGTACCTTTCTGTGAACCCGTTTTCAGCGTAGTCTCTGGAGCCAGCTCAGCCTACAAGAAGGTTAAATTTTAAAGTTTATTTCAACTTGGCTTTGTTGATTTGTGTGAGAACAGCTGATGTTTTCTAGGAAAATTAAATTCAATTCAATTTTAAAAAGACATTGCCTAAACAGCTTTCAAGCTGATGAAAAATCCTCCTTCAAAAATGCATTAATAGCTTTTTTGCATCAGAAGCCATTACTCAGGGACTTCTGAGCTCATGTTCCATTTCATTTTTTATTCATCGTTTCTTCACCGTTAGCTGATAATGCAGAGTGAATCGATAAAGAGATATAAAAAAGGGAGTAAAACTGCAACATCTTTCATGCACACTTTGCAACCGGTGCTGTCCTTTGTTCTTGACAGGATGTTGGCGGAGGTAAACTCATACCTGTTCTTTTTTGGTTTTCTTTTTCGGGATGGGATCGATCCCTCTCTCTGACTCAGACCTGCTCCTGACTGACCGCCGCTGAGGTTTCCTCTCCTGAGAGCCTGAAAACAAAATTATTGACGTGCATCTCGTTCCAACTTCCACAATTGGAAAAACATTCAGCCGAACGCGCCGCCCGTCTGTTTTATTCACTCACCTTGTGGACTGCTGTTGGGTGATCCAGGAGAAGAGGTATGCTGAATTCCCCCTTCCTCGCTCCTTCGACTCACAGGGGAGCTTCTCCTCTCATCCCCCTCTTCCTCCCCTTCATCGCCCTCCTCCTCTTCCTCCTCCTCAGGGCTAGGCTCAGGTTTAGCTCTGCTGTCCTGCTGAAACAACACATGAATACGGCCTTACTAGTGAAAAATCTTCTCCCCGTACAGACTGTTTTTACCTTTTTTTGTCACAGTTATATATTTAGAATCGCCAAACAAATGTTAATATTAGACAAAATTAACTAGAGTAAACACAACGTGTTTTTAGATTATACTTCATTTATTTAGTGGGAAAAGCTATCCAAACCAACCTGGCCCGGTAAGAAAAAGCAATGGTTCCCTAAACCTAACGACTGGTTGTGCCACCCTTGGCACCGGTTGTGTCACACCCTTGTGATAGCTGGAAAAATCATTTACATTTGGTGAAATGTTGCTGCGGTACTTTGAACTTTGTCCTGCTGGATGCTTAAGCTTAATGTCACAAACTGATGGCTAGATGTTCTTATTCAGGATTTTCTGGTAAAGAGCAGAATTCAACGTTTCATCAGTTACAGCAAGTCATCCAGGCACAGAAGCAACAAACTGCTTCCAGTTCATCACACTACCACAAACGTGTTTCTTGGCATGACATTTTATTTCTGAAATGCAGTTTTAGTTTTACTCCAGATGTAACAAGACGCACACCTTCCAAACTTTTGTCTCGTCAGTCCACAGAGTATTTTCTCCTAAAGTCCTGAGGATCATCAATGTTTTTTTGCCAATGTGAGACGAGCCTTTGGGTTCTTTTAAGTTTTGGCTGTAGAACTCTTCCATGGAGGCCATTTTTGCCCTTTGTTTCCTTACTGCTGAATCATAAACTCTGAGGTCTGCAGAGCTTTATGAAGATGCTCTGGGATCTTTTGGGACCTCCTGGATGAGTTGTTGATGTGGTCTTGGAGGTTGATTTGGATAGATTTTTCCCCTTAATAAATGAAATTATCATTTTAAAAAACATCTTGCATTTACTCAGGTTGTCAAATGCTTTTTCACAACACTGTATCTCTGAACAGGTTTCTTTTCGACTGCACCGAGTTACACCTACCTCAGGTGAGCAGTATCCCAGATCAGGCTGCCGGGCCTCCCTCTCCACTCTCTCTTCCTTTCCCTCTTCTTTGACCTTTTTTGGGGACACGGTGGAATTTTTCTGCAGGAGAGGCCAGTCACACTTTGTGATCTCCACATTCAGCCTCTTCATTGTGATGGAGAGAGGCAGCAGCTTCCTGGCAGCTGCTGTTTTCCAGGCCCTGACAGGTGGCTTCGGCGAGTCCTGTTGAACTTGATCCTCCGAGCCAGAGCTCTGTTTTGGTGACTTATTGTGGTCCCCCTTCTGGCTCTTCTGTTCCCCCAGTGGTTGTGCGTTGGAGTTTTCCTCGGTGTTTGAAATGCTGCACTGTCTCCGTGGCAGCTGCCGTCGCGGCGGCTGCTCCCTGTCCGGGGACTTCACTCCAACATCCTCCTTCTTACTGATGGAGCCACTGGAGCGTCGGTTTCGTTTTTCCGCTTTGGTCGTGGGTTTCTTGCTGGGTGGGGCTTCATCGGGGTCCGGGTCAACGTAGATAAAGGTGTAGTTGTCAATTCGCTCCTGGCGTGTCATGAGGAAGGCGTCCTCAGCATGGCCCACTCCCACCTCCCACTGGGAGCGCTCCCGCTGAGGAATCGGCTTTAGAAGCTAGAGTGGAAAAAAAAGAGGTAAAACTTGAAATCTTTCAACCAACTTTATGAGATATAGTTATTAATATATAAAATTAGTTGAAAACGTATACAAGTCAGTGCATGCTAATGGTGAACTGAGCAGCTGAAGTCTGCTCACAATTTACACAGATCAACAGCTATAAGCAAATTCAAAGCAACAAATCAATACTCAATAAAATCTGGGAATCTGCTGAATATCTTGTAAATAACAGGTGGTTGCATATCTTTAATTTGCAATTTAAAAAAGTTTAACAGCAGCTCTGACAAATCGTACGTGTGATGTAAAGATGACGCCTTTGTTTGGCAGTTAATCTCCTTCATCAACATAAATAATGACATCTAGCCGACTCATTCACCAGCAACAGAAAAAGGAGCAGACCCTGCATCATTTATTCTAAATTTACTCCACGTTTCACGCCCCGCATTTGCCACACCCCTGGTTTTGTTACCAGAATGATTGTTCTTTAATTAAATTATATAAAGAAAATTAGATTACTAAATATGACTTAATAATAATTTTTGGAAATATTTAAATTATACAGCTACTTAGGGAGTGTGTGAAAGCTAAGCCTCATTGCACTAAATATTAATGATTTGTGACATCTTTTGTATCACTTTAAATTAAAATTTTGCAATTACAAATGTGACGTCAAAATACAAACAAAAGGCATTTTGTCTTTGTTATAAAGTACACAAGTTCTTCATGTGTAGAATGGTGGTGAAAAGCCTTAAAAGTTCTAACTACATTTCTTAACCAAGTGTCAGAACAAGCAACGTTCACCTGTTTAACTCCTGAAATAAGTTTTCAAATCAAATCAAGGCAAAGTGGCGTTTACTACTTACCTCTTCTTTACCACATCACAGGTACGCTACATTTGCTGAATAACGATTTTTATGCTATAACATATGAATATGTTTGTCACTTAAAATTTGACAAATAATTTATGTGATCACAATTTTAAAAAATGGTAAATGGTCTGTACTTATATAGCACCTTTCTATCTTATCAAGATACTCAAAGTGCTTTACACTACAATCTGTGCCCTCATTTACCCATTCATACAGCACTCTACTGTCTATACAAAGAATAATCAGTGCTTTATCACATTCATACACCAACTGGACACACATCGGAGGCAATAAGGGGTTCAGTGTCTTGCCCAGGGACACTTCACCACTGCTGGTGGAATCGAACCCCCAACTCTGCCACTGACGACTGCTCTAACCACTCAGCCACAGCTGTCCCTATCAAAATCACTTATAATCTGTATGAATACTTCTTTGAATTTTTATTTCAAGCTGCTGTTTTAGCAGTTCTTCTGGCTGTAATTGAACAGAACTAGACAAAATTTATTTTTTTCATTTTGAAATAAATTAATGTATACATCTTTGTATACGCACTTTTTGCCTCTCTACAGGGTTTGACGTTTTGCGTAGAGTGTCTGCCTGAAGCTCATCAAACTGCTGCTTCCCCTGGTACGTGACTATCCTCTTCTCGTGAATCCACGCTCGCTCGGCAACGCTGCCAAAGAACTGGACATGATATTCTCTGTGACCTACCAGAGAAAAGAACAAGTTATATCGAGAAACAAACAAGACGTCAGGTAACAATCCAGGGGTCAGGATTTATTCTCAGTGGTATGAAAAGCATCGGGCAATATGCATTCATTTAAGTAATTCTGGATCTTTAATTATTAAGCGCTTTTACCTCTGGTGTTAATGCGAGTGTGGACCTTCATCTGTGGGTCAGAGGAGACCATGCAGGGCCACCAGGGGTAAGTGCCCACCTTGGACCACACCAAGTCTCCGATCACAAACTCCTTACAGAAACCAGTCTCTTGAATCACTGATGGATGATGAACTTTAGGAACCTAACAAGAACAAGAACAAGTTACGGGTCTGGTTTTAAAACTCTAGACACTTCGATGATGTTAATGCAAAGAATCGACTACGTTATCTCGCCTTTGGTGTCTTTGGTTCAGCTTTTATGACTGTTTTTGGAGGCTTCTCTGTCTGAACGGGCGGCGGTTCTGTTGGCTGAGGCTGGTCAGTGGTGTCCTCTGTCTGACCCGTTGTACCTGCTTGCACTTGGCTCTGGTCCAGATCCTGTTTCTGAACCTGCAGCTGCAACCTTGCACTCTTTTTCCTTTTCTCCTTCTTCCTTTCATGTCTCCGTTGCATGGGAGTGGCCTCGTTCTTCTGAGACTCCTTCTGAACGTGAAGAATAAAAAAAAAGCAGAAAAGCAGTGGAGATGATGACACATTGCAGTGTTTGTTGTTTTCTTCTGTTTTTATGTTTAAAGCAAACAGAAAATAATCTTTCTTCTAGAATCAGAATGTCATCTGATAAATTTATTTTTGTTCTTTTGTTAAAAAGAGGATATAGAGACAAGGAAAGTAACAGTTTTATCTGGATTTCAGTTTGACTTTTAGGTGTGCTATTATTTTTATTTAATATAATATAAACACGATGTTGATCACAAAAAATCAGCAACTATTAATCACTAACAAAAAATAAACTAAAATTACTGTATCTTGTCTTAAATAAGAGAATTAACCGTTTTCCTCTTTTGATTTGTTGTAAATTATTTCATTTTCATGTAAATCAGCAAAACAACAAGCTTTTTATGTATGGTAATGAATTTTCTGGTGCTTACGTCATTAAAATAAAATTGTAGCGATAAAAGGAACAAAGGATGAAAACGCACATTTAAAATTATGGCGCAGGCTTTGTGTCATATCATTTATTTCTAACTTATGATCAAATTGACCCACTGATTTTCTGTCAATATACTGTTTGAACAGATAAGGTCATTATTTCAGGTTTAACATTAACAATAGAATTTCAAATTTTAGAAAAAAAAAGTCATCACTGATTTATTTTTATGGTTAATGGAAAAGTGTTTGAGGTGAAAACTATTAGACAATTGTCTTCTGCTCGTGTCAGTAGGACCTGCTCTCATACCTGCAGCTCCTGCAGCAGATCTCCACACAGCGCGGATTCAAACAGCTCTTTCCCGTTCTGATACGTCTTTATGATCTTCAGCTTGATCTCTGGGGAGCTGGTTTTCTTCAGCACCCCACCGGTGGTGTTGGTTGGAGCATGGACATGTTGAGATGAGGGAGTACTGTCCACCAGGGAGGGAGGAGGGCTTGAGGATGGGAGGTGTAACAGAGGAGGAGGTTGGAGGTTGTGGGTCATGATGTGAGGTGTCTGGGACAGGTGGTGCTGTGGGGGCAGAGGTGGAGGTGGAGGACTCTGCGGGTGCGAATGTGTCTGTATATGAGGTGGGTTTGAGTGGAAGGGGTGCACGTGGTGGTGGTGATGGGGGTGGTGATGGAGATGTGGATGATGTGTTGGCAGCGGGGGAGACACAGGAGACAGAGGTCTCTCTTGTAGACCAGGGCCTCTCAGGACAGTTCCCTCCCCTGGCAGGAGGCCGTGCTCCCCGTAGCTCCGTAAAGCCCCGTAACCATTAGCTGAGCCATTGGGGAACTGTGAGAACATTGAAAACTTGGCCTGGGGCTCGTACATCGCCAGACCAGGGGGGTAGCCATTGGGGACCTGCGGCATGTCCTCCGAGGCTGATGGTGGGTAAGAGAACTCTGCATCCAGGGCAGCATCATAGGATGGACCACTATCCTCACCCGGGTCACTGCCGGTGTCACAGGTGCCTTCCTGTCTGATGTTGGCTGAGTCAATGAGCTGAGGGGGTTGCTGAATTGTATTTCCCATGATCCCTTGCATGAAAGAGAGGGAGAAATCCATTGTTGGGCTCCTGCATCCTTAACTGTCTTTTTCTTTGACTGGACCTGTTGACAAAGATGCGTGATTAGGCTACAATCCAAACAACATGCACTATTTGAATCCTCACATGCAAGCACCAGTCCATGAAAAAAAAAAAAAAGGGTTAAAAAAAAACTAACTTTGCTGGAATATTTATTTTCACCCCACTAGGTAGCGTGAAAGGCATCTTGTATGAAACCAGTTCCCGATGCATATAAAAATAAATAAAATAAGTTTGGGAGCACTGGTTCCCTAACGTTTCAGCTTTCCACCTGCAAAAACTTGTGACCCAAACTATCTGGTTCAAGTGAGCAAATATTAAAATTAGGCCAATGAGACGTGTATTATAAAAACTGCACTACTTCTATTGATTTTTAACAATGCATTTTGCCTCTCATAATACTTGACAAAAAATGTAATTAATGATCATTCTGAATTAAAATTTTGTTTCTTACAAAACATTTCAAAACCCCAAATCTGATGGGGTTTTTTTAATGGCCAACCGTGGGGTCTTAAACCAAACTGTGAGTCCCTGCTTTACAAAACAACATTCAACATTTCAAACTCCCATGTAGTTCTGCAACATCTAACGCTGTTTGTGAGTTCACCTGTCCATCTGACAATGTGATTACTGCAGACGATACAACTTTATGATATTTCACCAAGGAGTTCAGAAACCTGACGGTTATTACTGCCAACTGAGTTAATATTGTCAAAATATTCAGAAGTTTGTGCCATTAAAAATCTGAAACTTTAGGTTTACACCTAAGTGGAGGTCACTTAGATTTAACTAAAAAAAGTGAGCAGAGAAAATATATATATTAATTTCAGTAGGTGGTTAATTAAACCTTGCACCTACAACTTCATTTTAAGTATTTAAGTATTTCCTCAAAAATGTGTTCAGTGCTCATCAAAAGAAACAACATACACTGACATCAACTCAGAGGAACTGTGTTCAAATATTTAGCGTATTTAATGAGCTTATTGGCAGACAAACTAAAAAATATTAATGTGCCAGCATCTTTGCATTGTGTAAAACTTTAATGTGTCCCAATAAAGTGTTACAATCAATCACAAAGATTGTCTGGGTTTATAACTTAAAATATGTCCACAGAAACCAACTAGAAAGCTAAAAAAAATAATCAAAATTTTTATTTAATCTCAGATTTTTGAAAATTATAGATAAAAGCCAAGAAAAGTTCATGCTTAAAGAGAAAGCTGGATACTTGAAGCCATGTGCATGCATCAATTGAAAACAAAAGAGTTAAGCACAGACGTGTGTAAACAGGGCAGCTTATAGTATTTGTCATTTTTTATATACTTTTTTGGCGGTTTATTAAAAGTACAACACTTTTTTTGGTTGTTTATTGCATCAACACAAACACATGGTGGCTTCCACAAACAAAACAAAGAGCTGCTCCCCGTGGCTGCTTTAGGCTTTTATTTTTAACATATTTAAACATTAGTAAGGAGTAATTATTTAAGTAAAAAGCGAACTGAGCCATTTCTCTCGTTGTGCTTTTAACGTGTGTGCAGAACCAGGACGCTCAGCATCAGAAAGGTAAATAATGTAAACATCCCTACGACGTAATTTAGCGGGCGCAAGCCTCCACCATCCACTCGGATTATTATTATTTTTTGATCGTTTGAGTGTTTATTGGTAAACAATAACATCTGGCTACATCTGTGTAGTCTCCCTCTTCTTTTGCGCAGACAAAAATATTTCACTGAATGATGTAGCTTCCTGCGATGTTAGCTTCATGCTAACTGGCATCAAAACGGCCATAACGAGAAACGGTGTGAAAAATATATATTTATTAAAAACAGAGAGCGCACAAAAGAGGTTTATCGCTTATATTTTTTTAGGATTGGATTTTTAAACGTTTACGGATATTCAAACTGTTGCGTAGTGCACATGTAGAAGATGAAAAGGGAAGCTAAATGTTGGCTAGGCTAACGCTGCAATATGGCTGCCTGTGCCCCTTTAAATCAAATTGTCTGCCGTGATTATACCTCCATCATATTATCCAGTACGTGCCACAAAAACAAGCAAGATGCCTGCCAAAAGACATCCGTGTGGAAGCAGGATACGAGATAGCAACACGCAGATATGCTTGTCGCTCCAGAGAAGCCACAAAGACTTGATACCGAGTCGAAATATGCAGCAATAAAATAAATAAATAAATATACAGAGATGAGAAAAAGAGATGTCAATACCTTCAGCGTGTCCCATTCTAAACACATACACCTGCCAGCAATAGTTCTTCGTTTAATCTACAGGGAGAAACAAAAATAAAAAAAACAACACTGCGATATTGACAAAAGTCGAGGCCTTTCCTTTTCGTTTTAACGCAATTCTCAACAGAGAAGAGAGAGGATGAGGATGAGGAGGAGGGGTGTTACGCTAGCTGGTCGCTACCCAATCCCAAAGCCTGGCTCTTCGTCAATGTAAAGACCCCAGCATTTAGTCGGAGCCCCGTCCGAGACGAACAACCTTCTTAAATCTAATCTCTAGCTCCCTCTTTCCTCAGTTTCACAAAAGCGCTCCTCGCGTTTTTTTATTTTTTATTTTTCCAAGCCCTGCTGCTCCTCAGTTCTCAGCACAGCGCCAAATCGTCAGCAAGATGCGGGCTGCAGGGGTCAACAGTGGCATTCTGGGATCTGTAGTTTTCTTTGCTGGTGGGCGGAGCTAACTGTATTAATAATATCGATACATGCTATGATCGTAGATCGTAATCAGATTGATAGTTTTACTAAGGGAAGACGGGGACATTTTCTTTACATTGTTTAAATGCAGTTTAAAAGAGGATGTTTTAATTTGTTCTTCAGTTGTGTTTTTCTGCATTTTATCTAGACATGACAATATGTTGTTCCATTGTTTCTGAACAAAAACTTTAATTATACAAACAAAGTATTTCCTACTTACCTATACAATTTGCGCAAATTGTGTCTGGAATAATTTATTAAAAACCCCTGAAAAACACTTACTGGTCATGAAAATGTATTCACATGTATTGATTTGATGCATTCATTTAAATACATTGTTGAACCTACATTTACTTGGCATCAGATCAGTATCAGATTTTCAGTATTTCACATCAGTAGTTTACTTCAGAAAAAAAATGCTGATGATAATATCATAGTCACACCTCAAATATCACAAGAAACCGTCATCACATTATGTAACTGTGGTGAATTAAAGGCAGAAATGTCTACAATATGGATTTGTAATAGTTTTAATACATAATAGATTATTGTTTTGATATTGTATTCTATCTAAGCAAAACTTTATTAAACTACTGTAGTTTGCAGTGAATTGCCTTCAATGCCTCATCAGCTCAAAAGCTAACAGGTCTTTCTTGTAAATGAGTCCTCAAGGCTCAATTAGACTAACTAATAAGGTTGAATTTTTAAAAAAAATCAGCTAATCTGCAGTCGAGAGGAAACAAAATAAAATACCTTTCACTCTGCTTCTGCTGGCCATAGAAATGTATGTTGTGGTTCTGCAGGTTGTGCATAATGATGTTGCGATAACTTTACATTTTTGTTATGTTGTGCAACCCTAATGGGAGTAATATTTTTTAGTTAATTCAGTCAACCTTTATTTATACAGGTTAATCTCATTGAGCCCCGGGGACTCATTTACAAGAGAGACCTGGTTCTAATACTACTAGTAGTACTAGTACTCTAGTGCAGTAAAATGACACAAGATACACATGTTAAATCCTTTTATTTTTACCAGTTTGTTGACAAAAGACAAATGTGCATCAAGCTGAATTATAATACTCAAATTAAAGCTGCAAGCAGCGTTGAAGGCCCTCGCAGCTAAGCGCCGCTGCGGCCTCATGGCGACCGCGGGAACTCGAGCTACTCCTCCCGGTCGCCATGGAGAACGCTCACGCTACTGTCACGCGCCCATTTTCCGGAGTGCGCATTCACAGAACCTTTGACATCAGCTGCAACAGCATATATAACAACTGTAATAATGTAGGGGGTGCACTTGAATCAAATATTAAACAACAACACCACTGTGTCCATAAGTCCTCACTAGTCAAGCACCAAAAATCTGGTCCAGATCGGACGATATATCACTGAGATATAACAGTTTGATTTATATAGGGGGCGCACTTGAGTCAAATATTAAACAACAACACCACTGTGTCCATAAGTCCTCACTAGTCAAGCATCAAAAATCTGGTGCAGATCGGACGATATATCACTGAGATATAACAGTTTGATTAACCTAGGGGGCGCACTTGAGTCAAAAGTAAAACCACCATACCATTGCGTGTTTAAGTGCTTACTTATCACACACCAAAAATATGGTCCACATCTGATGACATATCACTGAGATATAACAGTTTGAATAATGTAGGGGGCGCCCTTGAGTCAAATATTAAACAACAAAACTAAAATGTCCATCAGCTCTCAGTAATGATGCACCCAAAATCTGGTCCAGATCGGATGACATATCACTGAGATATAACAGTTTGAATAATCTAGGGGGCGCACTTGAGTCAAATTTTAAACAACGCTAACAATGTGTTTAGACATGGTCACACATTATGCCATAAAAATCTGGTGCAGATCAGATGATATATCATTGAGATATAAGGGTTGGAATATTATAGGGGGCGCTCTTGAGTCAAAAGTTAAAAAACATTACTAATGTGTCCATCAGGGCTACATAATAATATACCAAAAATTTGGTGCAGATCGGATGATATATCATTGAGATATAACTGTTGCAAGATTGTAGGGGGCGCTATAGAGTCAAAATTTAAAAAAACTATACTACTGTGTCCACCAGGGCTAAATAATAATACACCATAAATTTGGTGCAGATTGGCTGATATATCACTGAGACAAAACAGTTTGAATAATGTAGGGGGCGCCCTTGAGTCAAATATTAAACAACACAACTAAAATGTCCATCAGTTCTCAGTAATGACGCACCAAAAATCTGGTTCAGATCGGATGTTGTATCACTGAGATATAACTGTAAGAAGAATGTAGGTGGCGCTGTGGAGGCTCTTGGCCACTTATCATGGAAACCTGTTCAGAGGTGGATAATGATCAATCATAGTGATTTTGGTTCATCTGGGTTCAAATCTGTGCAAATTAGAGCCAAACGTATTGCAACGGCGTCACTTTTTAATTCGCCATGGCGCCACGCCCACATTCTCCAGCTATAACTGTTTTGTTGTTTAAATCAAGTCAGACCATGTTATGTGTCTTCTAACACAGGATCATCCTGATTATGTGAAGGGTGTCAAAGAAGGACCATTCCAAGCCAAAAAAGTCACTTCCTGTTCTGAGGGGGCGGGGCTTTGATGACGTCACAATATGACCTCAGGGTATCGTCGGGCATGGGAGAGGGATGACTCATGCCAAATTTGGTGCAAATCTGTCATTCAAGTTGAAAGTTATAACGTTTGGAAATTTATGGCGTGAAGCTCAACTTTGAGGCCTGGCCACGCCCCTTTAACAAAACGAAACCGAAAGCTTTTGATAACTTTTACTCTCCAATGTCTTAAGGGCCTAATAACCAAGTTTTAAGTCAATCCTTCAAAATCCCTAGGAGGAGTTCGTTAAAATTCGCCGTTAAAAACGCCCAAAAATTAACCTTTGACCCAAAATGGCCGACTTCCTGTTGGTTTTGGACTGGAGCGCCAAGAGACTTTTTCATAGGTCCTGAGAAGATACACATGTTCACCGAGTTTCAGATTTATCGGTCGAAAAATGGCTCGGGGCTGAGGTTTTAAAATATTCTAGGGGGCGCTAGAGAGGCTATTGCGCAATCATCATGGTTTCCTGTTCAAGGGGCGGGCAATGATCGATCATAGTGATTTTCATGAACCTCGGATCAAATCTGTGGAATTCAGAGCCAAACGTATTGTAACGGCGTCACTTCTGACTTCGCCACGCCGCCACGCCCACATCCTCCAGGGGAAACGCTTTGCGCTTCAAAGCAAGTCAGACCAACTTGTTATCTGCCTTCTAACACAGGATCATCCTGATTGGGTCAAGAGTGTCAGGGAGGGAGCATTCCAAGCAAAAAAAGTCACTTCCTGTTCTGAGGGGGCGGGGCTTTGATGGCGTCAAAATTTGACCTCAGGGTATCGTCGGGCATGGGACAGGAATGACTCATGCCAAATTTGGTACAATTCTGTTTTTCAACGTGAAAGTTGTAGCGTTTGGAAATTTTTGGCGTGAAGCATAAGTTTGAGGTCCGGCCCCGCCCCCTCAACATGCGTCGGTTTGCACCGTTTTGATAACTTTTGGTCCCCCATGCCTACTGAGCAAAATGGCGAAGGTTTGAAACCGATTGAGCGAAATCCCTAGGAGGAGTTCGTTCAAATTCGCCGTGTACGAAAAGTGAAAAACGGCCAAAATTGACCCTTTGACCCAAAATGGCCGACTTCCTGTTGGGTTTAAGGCATACCTCCAAGAGACTTTTTTTCATGATTCGGTGGGTTCTACATATGTACCAAATTTCAGCTCTCTAGGACTTACCAGTTGTCATATCTCACGTTAGGGGGCGCTGTAGAGCAGTTTGGCCACGCCCACTTTTGGTTCCATTATCATACTACTATTTCTCGCGGGGGACAATTTTGGGTAAAGTTTGGCTAGGTTTCAAATATGCTAACCCCTCCAAATAAGCGCTTAAACATTGAAAAGAATAAGAAGAATAATAATAAGAAACGACACAATTACAATAGGCCTTCGCAGCGCTTTGCTGCTCGGGCCTAATTATAGTCCTCGAGGCTCAATGAGACTAACTTGTATAGATAAAGTTTGTATGGATAATATATGTGGATTTTGCTTCAAAAAAACTATAAAACCATTTAATTCATGAAGAATAAATAAACAGTTACAGTCTGAATGCAGTGGTTTAAACTGAACTGACACTGAATTTTGTGAAGCTCCAAGGGCGAGAACATTGTTTTATTTCTTTGGAAAAAAAGCGTAAACTGTCTTCTTACAAAGACGATCTTCGTTGGCTTCGCTCTATAAACAACGTTTACGCATGCGCATCGTGTCCTATCAGTAGCTAGAGTCACAGACTGAGACACGACGCGTAGGGAAAAGGTTTAAAGCATAAACCCACCGTAAATGGGTTTATCACTACATCATTCGTTATTTTTCCGATTCCGTTCATCTCGACAGTTTGTTTTGGATGGATTATCTTGTTTACGGCTCTCTGAAAAGCCTTACAACGCCCTGTCTGCTCCGTCGTTGACGCTGGAGGTTAGTAGGCTCCATTTTCAGCTATTTGATAGCGGTAGCAACTGGCGGATAATGCTAGGTAGCTAACCGGTGTTGTGGCGAAAAAAGTATCCCTGCTGTAGAAACGCACCGGCTAATGGCTTCTTTGCGTTCCAGTACGATCTCGTAATGCCATTTATGTTGTATGTATCTTTCAGTTCTTGCTCTTGATGGCGAGATTTAATGTTTCCCAGAGCTGAAGGTTCCAAAACAGTTTGTTCACTGTTTGGATTTCAGATGTAATGTAATGGAAAAATACCAAATATTTCATTTGTATGGAAAGTTACCCAATGGCTATAATTTTATGGGCGTAACAGAAAGTGTTACTAATTTAACATGACGCTTAACGGGGGTTTCAAAAGCGCATTTTAACATGGAATAAATACGTGTAGTAGCTTATCTGTTGCTAATGTGTAGCTAAGGGCTAATGCAAGCTGCTCACTGTTGCTAGCATGATTAGTAAGTTTGTTGCTTTGCCAAACATGTTTGTGTCTGCTTGAGTAATTAATTTGTTGCTGTTTAGATGCCACCCTAATCTGGCCTCTGCATGTTTTCTATTTCCATGTGAACTTCTGACAGAACACAGAGATCTGCAATGGCAGCTTTTAGTCAGCAGGTGCTCTTTGCAGTCACAAGATCAAGGTAAGCAGATGCATAACTGACAAGTTATTTACCTTTGATGGTGTACCCAGTTTAATTGTGCAGATTAAACTTTTATTTTGTTATGGTAGATTATAACCTCTTTGACGCGAGTCACATTCACGACTGGTTATTTTCACTTTTTGTTGAGTTGAAGTGTGTTAAACTGCTGATGTTTACTTCACAAAGTCAAGTAGCAGAATACAGATGCAAATATTACAGGGTCATTTTTGGCTCAGCTACATATGACATGCACATTACAACACTATTTATTTATTAATCTTTATTTAACTGGACAAATCCCAGATTTTATTTTATTTGGAACAAAACCTATGCAAACATGAGGAGAACATGCAAACTCTACACAAAAAGACCCCAGTTCCAAACAGGGTATTAAATTCAGGACCTTCTTGCTATGAGGCAGAAGTGTTTACCACTGATCCATCGTGTTGCCCAATAAACTCAAGAGTGTTTATGTTTCGCTAGACAGAGATTTTTCATGCCTTCAGGCAACTATACAACTCTAGATGTTAAATTGTTTCAAATAAGCTCTCTATTTAAGGCTGATATGTAAGATAAATATATTTAATTAGTGTTTATAAGGGGCTCCCTTTCAGAGAAATTCGTTCTCACTTCCTGATTTTGTTAATGTTAGAGATTTTTTGGCTCGGTTTTAAATAAATTAGTTTTCTACTGGTCCTAATTTTTATTACCTGATCCACTTTTCCAAATAAGTTAATCTACTCTTGTCTCCTCAGTAGGTCTGGGCGATATGGACCAAAATGAATATCTCAATATTTTTAAGATGAATGGCGATATACGATATATATCTAATTTTTTTTTCTTTCCATAAGTACTGTAATAACAAAAATATATTTCTGAGTCAAAGCTTAGTCCCAATTGTCACACAAGCACCTTTATTAACAAACAGCTGTAACTTTTACAAAAGATATGTCTCAAAAATAAAAGTTTTTTTCCTGCATAACAAAACCAAGAACACAGCTGTGCACTTAAAATTTTTACAGAAAACATACAGAGCAAACATAACAAAAGGCAGACTTGCTCTTTAAAAATCTGCTTTTAATGAATTATATTCATTCAACCTTTATTAAAAAGCTGTTAGCCCTCATTAGCTATGTTTACATGGACATAAGTAATCGGATTAAAGGGCTATTTCGAATTAAAATGCATCGAATGTATCGTTTACATGGGCACAATCTGTTCACGATGAGCGTTTACATGCAGCGAGCTTTTATTCAGAATAGAAGTACTGACATGCACAGAGTGGTAAACCGCTCCTTAAAAAACACAGAAGTAGTTCTACTTCTGGTTTACTTCCGGGATGAGTATAAACAAACCTGAGTGCCCAAAATTGACCCGCGACAGGTTTTAATGACTGTGGAGACGTTACTGCACTCCCTGATTGAGCTACAGGTAATCCAGATCATTTTGAGCCCTTTCAAAGTTTCCTGTAGAAATGTTGTGTTGCTCACTGACCAGTTTTGCTTCCCCGACATATTAGCATTAGCCAGGTGGAAATACGTGAGGTAGACATACATAGGTCACACATGCACAGTCAGGTCAGTTTTCCACAATCAAAAAAAAAGTGTTTACATGCACACTGTTCGGATTATGAATCTGCATAAACTACCCATCTCATTCTGATTACAGATTCTTTCGGATCGAGCTGAATCAACAAAAAAATAATCAGAACTGGGAGTTTACATGACACATTTTTATTCTGAATGGCCGTTTAATTCGATTACTTATGTCCATGTAAACATAGCTACTGGCTGTGCATTGGAGATTATTCTCTCTGACAGACTGTTTGAACTTCTGTTTGCGTAAATACCAAAAGAAAGAAGGTATGTGTATGTAAATACCAGAATAAACACAGCAAATAAATCACCCTAAGCTGGATATTTGTCTCCGTGTTTTTTAATGAGAAGACGACTTCTTTGCCGCTCAGTTAATTTCCTGGAGAAGACCAAACTCTCCTTTGTAGCAGCCATCTCCTTTGTACCCAGTCATTTTCAAACCTATCAGAAATTTACATCCATGTCACCAGTTTCCAGTGACTGAGTCAACAAAGACCTATTGTGACGATTGATAGCTGCATGTGCGTCTAGCTTGGAGCTGCAGCAGCACCAGTTTTACACAGCAGGGAGCGGGTGAGGGGCCGAGTTTGTATTCGATGAGGGAGAGAAGGAGGGGCCGCGTGATGGCGCAGACTGGGAGCAAAACTGACAGATTTTCAAGTATAATTATAACTACGTAGAGTATGAGAGTATTGTTTTATATTGATATAGTCTCATTTTATTTCGCATATGAAATTATATAGATATTTAAAAAATATCGAGATATCACCCAGCCCTACTCCTCAGCCTGTTAATCATTAAAGCAAAAGGGTGATCAGAGGATCGTGTCATATAAAAATAGATGTGCTCAAAGTTGCTGAGCACACAGACGGTGAGAGGGGCTGTTTGATAAACTGACATCACTTTCCTTAGTAACTGGTTGATGAGAGCGTAGTGGTCTAGAAATAGACTCGGATAAAGAGTGGATTTAAGCATTTGAGAAATACGAATCGATTTATCAACTTTATTTTAAAAGGTTTGTGTGTAAAATTCAGCCTTAATAGGCAAAAACATAAAAGAATTGTTATAGTGGCTGAAACCAATCCGTAATTATTTGTTGCAAACATTGGATATAAAAACATGTTTAACGAAACAACAAGTCCTTGATTTGGTTTAGATGAAGTTTGAAAAAGCCAAGAAAATGTTAAATACCATTTCGTAGACTTTAGAGGGTCGTTTTGATTAAATCACTCGTAATCATCACTGCAGTAAAGAGATGACCATTTTTTCCATATGTTTAGTTATTGGCTACTTTATTCTCTAATTCGTGTGAAGCTGAAAATACAACTGCCCTTTTAATTATTTATGCACAATGTATTGTTGCGTTATTAGTAAGTTAGTTCCCATTGAGCCTCAGGGACTCATTTACAAGAGAGACCTGTTGTACTTAAGCATGAATTAAACAAGCATCACATATTTCTTTGTATTTTCTAACATTTTTATGGATCAATTATAAATTACTACTTTTTCGATCAACAGGGGATCATATTTGTTGTCCAAGAGGCACAGCTGCTCCTCTCTGCCTTCCAAAGCTTATCTCCACATAGAGCCTCCTCGACCTCCCTTGTCTTCAACCCCTCCCAGACACCCCAGCTACTGTTTTCGAGGTCATGCTTTCAGCTGTGACCACAGCTACACCCTGCTCGCCCGCTCTCTGCACAGCTCAGGCGTTTGGCTCCAGGATATAAAGCAGGACAACTCCAAGGCCTCTACATCTACTGCCCAGGATGTTTCTACGGGTGATAAAACGGATTCTGTAGCTGTCACATCTCAGTCTCAACCTCCGTCAACTCCAACGTCCACTGCTGCCACAGCAGCCACTGTCCCTCCTGTTCAGGAGAAGGCCATTGCGAAAAAATCTCTGTATCAGAGGATTGTAGATGAGTTGAAGCATTACTACAATGGCTTCAGGTTACTTGGCATTGACACCAAGATTGCTGGCAGGATGGTATGGAGGCTGCTGCACGGACAAGTGCTCACGCGAAGGGAGAGGAGAAGGGTAAGAAGCTAAATACAAATTATTTGTCTTTTGTCTCATTTTATATAAACTAATCTCTCCTAAAATTTGTAAATTAAATGACTTAAAAACATTCCCACTGATATGATGTGGTCAGGTCAGTTTATTCATAGGGTTAGTTATAAAAAAAAATATTGGAAGTTGTTTACGGACATTTATGTCTGTGTGTTACTTTTGGTAGCATATTTTAAATAACGTGTAGTTCACATGAGGCTTTATATACCAGTTTATATATTTTTTAATATAAAGTTTTCTTGGTTTGCAGAAAGGCACGTTTTATTGGCGTCGCAGCGATCCAACATATCGCTGTGATGTTTAAATATGCATTGAACACCTAAAATAAGGCAGTCTGTGTTTTGTCAAACAAAACATACATTCCTCAAACGAGCTTTTATCTAAAATATTCATAAAATTATATCAGCATGTGATATTCATGTTTGTTTAATACTTTAACCAAAGCTCTCTCTGCTAGACTCCTTTTTAGCTCAAATCCTTTTAAACGTTCTGTTTATTAATGTTATTTTACTGCGAATCAGTTCTAGTCAATATTTGTTTAACAAGTCAGTAAAGAATGTACTGAACAGGGATGATAAAGTGTTAAAATGTTAACAGTAAGAGGACTGTTTTGAGCTTATCTGTAGATGTTTCATATGATGTTTCGGCCACTTGAAGACGAGACGGCACCACTAGATTATTGAAGCTCATTTTCAAACTTTTTGCTTCCCCGACTGATTACTGTCCAAGCACACACACCTGCAGAGACCCGAGCTGTGCACGTGTCGTGGTCAAACTGTATTTGAGCTACTTTAGAAGAGGACAGCATGTGTAACAGATCATACGGGGAGTCACCCTTCCTAAAATTTAACCATCAAGGGGCTTGAAAACTATTTTTGTCACATGAGCATTGTTTGGTTTGTGTTTACAGCTGATGAGGACCTGCGCTGACCTCTTTCGCCTCGTGCCCTTTATGGTGTTCATCATCGTCCCTTTCATGGAGTTCCTTCTTCCCGTCTTTCTCAAACTTTTCCCAGAAATGCTGCCGTCCACCTTTGAGACGGAGTCTAAAAAGGCATGTGTTTGTATACGACACACACAGGCAACACAATGCACAAACACGGAGTGAAATCTGCACATGGTTCATTATAATTTAAATTGATTAAACAGTCTGACTATATTGACAGCCAAATATCTCCGATAAACAGTTGATCATAATTAATGCAAGATCATTTTAAAACAATTCTTATAATCAAACAACCACAGTTTGTTGTTACTAAATTATTAGACCTTTAACACTCCTTTAATTCTCTCCATTTTTCTAAAAGTCTTAATTTGCAGAAAAATACTTTGTTTTACAGTGAGAGACCTTTTGGAATTGAGCTAATCTGGTTTGTGCTACATAATTAATATAAATTAGTTAGTATTTAAAATATCCTAGAGAAATATAGCGGACGTATTTTAACAGTGCGTTTTTGACGAGTGCGTCAAACTCTTGTTTTAAACTGAGCAGCTTTGTCTGTCGCTCCGTGCAGGAGGAGAAGCAGAGGAAAGGTCTGGCTGCAAAGCTGGAACTGGCCAAGTTTCTTCAGGAAACCATTGCTGAGATGGCCCGAAGGAATAAAGCAAAGGCTCAGATCGAAGAGGAGACCCAGCGCTTCTCCTCATATGTTGAGAAGGTCAGTGTTGTTTTTAAGTTTTGTCCTGTGGACGATTTTTTTTTCCAGGGTACAAAGAACATCTTTATTTAATAATTAAAGTAAAATCACAAGATGAGAATGGCTTTGTAAGTATTATGGTTGAGATTTCCTTACTGAAGTCTCAAAAATACTAGACCTGAGTTTTCAGATTTAAATTGTTTGTTTTAGAGACAAAGTCTTCCAACATCAAGGCATTGGGTTGTTTTCTCGTTCCCTGTGAGTGAGTCCGTGTTATGTCTGCAGGTTCGGGGAACTGGCGAGCAGCCCACCACGAAGGACATTGTTCGTTTTTCCAAGCTGTTCGAAGACGAGCTGACGCTGGAACATCTGGAGCGTCCCCAGCTGGTGGCTCTGTGCAAACTGTTGGAGCTTCAGCCCATCGGCACAAACAACCTGCTGCGTTTTCAGATGATGATGAAACTCAGAACCATCAAGTCTGATGACGAGGTGAGGCGTGGCGCCTTGTGGTTTTGTGATGGAGGGTTTGCTGCTGTAACTGTCAACAATGCTAGAAGGAGACTATTATTTAACAAAAAAAACAAAACATGTGAGTGATTTGCATTCGTTAGCTTAAATTTTACAACCTGCACTGAATATTTAATTTCTTCTCATGTTATTTTCCATATTGTGGCCATCAACCTATAAATGTTACGAAATTGACTTTGACTGTGTTGTGACATTTGTGAGTCTCTAAAAGTTCTTTGTTAGGAAAACGGATCTAATTTCTATTAGTAATGGGTTTGTGATAGCAGTAAATTAAAAACAACTTTGGCTTTCCTTGAGAAAAAGAATGAAGAGACTTTGTGTCTTTGTGACCGTATGACCCTTTTTGGTTCTTCTTCCTCTCGACGTGAAGCAAACATCTTTTCACAGCCTTTGAAATGGTGTTTCACTTCCTCTCTGCTTCTTCGCAGATGATTGCAGCAGAAGGTGTGGCTGCGATGAGTGTGTCAGAGTTACAGGCAGCGTGTCGCAGTCGTGGGATGAGGTCTCTGGGTCTCACCACAGATCAGCTACGTCAGCAGCTGCAGCAGGTTAGCAACACAGAGTTTGTTTTAACGAGTGACACCTCTGATTCTTCTAGGTCATACCGAATTATAAAAAATATCAGAGCAAAGCAGGATTAAATGAAATTAGCAATTTGGGAATCTTTTTTATTTATTTATTTGTTTTTATGCTTTTGTCCATTTAGTGGCTGGATTTGCATCTGAAGGAGAACGTTCCTCCATCGCTGCTGTTGCTCTCCAGAGCCATGTACCTGACAGAGCTCAAACCTAAACCTCACGTCATCCCACCCGTTCCCAAATTAGAGGTACTCTGTGCTCAATCCACCTAATCTCTTACAGGCCACACTGCTGTATATTCTCTTACATTTTCTAGGTTTTAGTGTTTCACACAGCTTTCAGCTCATTGCAGCTGATGTTTGGGACATGTAGTCTTTCCTCCACAGATGGAAAACTCCAAATGTTTTTGTCACATTTCTATCATTTCTCTGTGCTCTCATCTTATATTTACCAGGTACAACAAGGTTTTCAAAAATAGTTTGACTGCCAGTATAAATCTGACGTAAAATCTATATTACCAGTAATTGTTAAATATAAAAATTTATGTTCATCTTAAAGTATTAAAATGTTCAAATTTGTATGGAAAGGAAAACCACTCGGAGTTTAGGACAACTACCTTATTCTGTAAATGTAAAAACCTTGTGGTGTTAACCTCTGCACTATTCAAACTTTATAATAAGAAAAACAAATTATTATTTGAACACAAACAATATAAGCATGTTTGATTTGAGATGAAGCTGTTTTATATAATTGTTATCTTTGCAGAAGGCGGCTGTTCCTCCGGTGGAGAACGCAGGATCAAACTCAGCTCCTGTCAGTCCTGAAAAGTTGTCCGACCCTGCTGTCGTCATCAAAGACAGACCGGTTTGTGTCCAAACTTCATATCGAAAATGCACAACTGCATGAGATACAATCATCTGTAGAGATGAAAGTCAGGTCCTATAGACGGTTTCTTTTTGTTGAAACGTTTCATCTTTCATCCAAAAGACTTCCATCAGTCAGAGGAGCCACAAAAAAACTCAGTCTTATAAATAGCACCTAGTGGGCCAACCAGTTTGATCGTGTGCAGATGGTTTCTGTCATTTAAGTCAGATCCTCAATCGTCCAGAGGACCTGACTTTACTTTGTTGGATTTCTTTACCTGCGTTATTGAGCATGAATCAGGATATTTTGAACCACTTTGACCATGACTGCTTCAAATGAGTCTGAGGGGGAGAGGGCGGACTACAGAATCCACCTGAGCACCATCAAACTGGTTGTCCCACTATGAGAAGGTGCTGTATATAAGACGGAGTTTGTTGTGGCTCCTTGGACTGATGGAAGTCTTTTGGATGAAAAACAAAACATTTCAACAAAAAGAAACCGTCCAGAGGACCTGACTTGACTTTGGTGGATTTTTCTACCTGGATTAGGAAATGTGCTTTTTTTTTGTTGCTAAAATTTAGGATTTGATCCATTTCTACACAGTTTGACACAACTACCACCACTTAATTATCTTATTTTAATATTAACATGAAGAAGTAAGACTCTGCTCAACGGTAACCAAATCTCTAAGCAGTTTATTTCTCATTTAATACGTTTATACACAGACTAGTTCTCAGTTAAGCTTCATCTTGCTGAGAAGAGGAGTGATGATCCTCATTTTCTCCATAAAAGCAAATTGTCCACAATATTTGTGAAAGCTAGATAAACCAATAAATCATTCAAAACTGTTGATAAACATTTTACCAGATTATTACCTAGAATAAAATGTTGCCTTCTTTTAAAGAGTCGTTCTTTTTCAGCACTAAAACACAGATCTATAATTGTGTTGTTGATGGTCGTGTGGTCCAGATGTGCAGTTCAAGGTCAATAAAAGGATTTGATCTTTATTTTGTCTCACTTTTTGTTGTAGGTGGAAGAACTGAGGGACGAAGCACCCGCAGCATTGGACAAATCTTTGACTCCGGCTGAGGTCCTTCAGGTGAAAACTTGCAGAAAGTCTTCAGGGATTTAAAAAAAAATCCAGTTACTTTGATCCATTTCACATGACAGACTAATCTGTCATGGAGGGAAAGAGCTGCTCATGTGATTAAACTTTTCAGCAGGAAGACAAAAACCCTTTGAATTCAACATGGTAGAAGAGCGTTCTCTAATTAAAAAGTAATTGCTGTAAATTGCCATAAATACTTAAAAGCATACTTCTTTCCCAGTTTAATATTAGTGTCGTGAAGTATTCATTTAAACAATTTACAGTGTTTTTGTATCAATGAATCATCTTTTAAAATACAGTAGTCCCTCGTTTATTGTAGAGGTCACGTGCCGGACAACCCCCCCCACCCCCACCCCCGGCGCGCGCGCGCAATAAGTGAAAATTTGCAAAGTAGCAATGTTTTATTTTAGTATTTATAAATATTTTAAGGCTTTAGAAACCCTTCCCACACTCTTGCAATGTTCTAAACCCTTAAACCTACGTCATTTTAACTACATACGTACAGTACTGGGGAGTGGTGGCGCAGAGATTTGAAAAGATGGGCCTGTGATCGGAAAGTCGCAGGTTCAACTCCCGGTACCGTCAACATAAAAATGTGGGTGAAGAAGATGAAACACCCACCTGCCTCCACTCTCATTTGCCCCACTCTGGGTCTCTGAGCAAGGCCCTTAACCCCCACCACATGCTCCCAAAAGCAGGTCTCTCTTGAAAATGAGTTCTCATGACTCAATGAGACTACCTGTATAAATAAAGGGTAAAGTAAATAAAAACGTCTTGTATATGTAGCTACAAAATTTTACTCACCAGCTGGCAGAACAGCAGCGGCTCTCGGTTCCGCTCAGTTCTGGTCTGACTCGGTTCTGTTTCTGCAGACCTACCCTGCAGTGACAAAGTCCACATTCTAAACCTGCTAATTTTAACAACATGCGTATATGTAGTTACTAAATTTTACTCACCAGCTCGGCAGAACAGCAGCGGCTCATTCCGCTCAGACTTGGTTCCGTTTCAGCGGATCTACCCTGCTGGTTCTGGTCGGCTCTCTGGGTAGTGGCAGTGGGCCCCGGAGTGAACGCCGGGCCTACGGCGGTGCGTCCCACACTTGGAGGTCCTTGTGGGCCGGCTACCAGCTCTCAGATTCGCCAATGGGTCTGGAGGTCCAGTTCTGCTCTGGTTTTGGTCTGGTTCTGTGCAGCCCTCGAGTGCCGAAGCACATTTTTGGGGGTGGGGGACCTTCGATTGGCCGGCGCGGGGTTGTTTGTTCGATTGAGCGGTCCGATAAAGATTATTTTTTTTATTCCGGGTGTGCTCCGGAGTAGCCGGACCTATGCCAGCACCTCCCTGCTTAGAAGTCCTTGTGGGCTGGCTAGCACCTCGGATTCGCCAATGGGTCTGGAGGTCCAGTTATGCTTCGGTTCTGGTCCAGCTCCCGGTGGGTTCTGTGCAGCTCTCTGCTTCCGCTGGGCGCCAAAGTCACTGTCCTGTACAGTAATAAGAGCCAAACTTTTTCCGATCAAATCAAAACTTTCCCTGTACATATTTCAGCAGACAGCAATGGGCTTCTGGGAAATGTAGTCCTTATGATTATTATTATACAGTTTAGGCTTATTGAGAGAAAACTACAAAATCGTCCGAAGTATTTTATTGTTTTGTTAACTTTTTACTATACAGTATTCCATACTTTTTTTTTCATTCAGTGTTTATTTAGACATAAATCACATTGAGCCTCAAAGACTCATTTACAAGTGAGACCTGTTTAGACAGACAAAAAGTAATGAAAGTGACCCAACAATTTTCAGTCAGGTCATCTAGACGGTTTCTAAACAAAATAATAATAATAATTAAAAAAAATAAACTATCTAGATGACCTGACTGAAAATTGTTGGATTGTATACCTGGATTATTGAGCATGGACTTTGTTGGTAATGAAAGTGACGCATATATAGGATTTGGAGGCAAAAAAAAATCCTATCAAACTCTTTCTCCTTGACTGAGGAGAAAGACCCTGATATTGACAAAACACCCCGCACATAGTGATGTAGACATTCTGCAGGGGAGGGGAGACGACAAGAGCAGTGATCATGAAGGGAGGGGGGTAAAGCTTCATTTTACAAGGCCTCCAGGCGAATTGAGATGAAGTCAAGGCCAGCCGGGGAGCCAAATTCAGATAAGCAACAATTGTTTTGGGAACAGGCAGAACTTTACTGATTCATGTCTGCCCCGAGTCTTTGCTCGAGTCTTTTAAACAAAAAGTGCAAAACCTGAACAGGAAACTGACCACCTAATATCACCTGAAATAAATAAATTTCAAAGGAAGGAAACAGATTTTGTAGTTAATATAAGTTATTGATCTCTTCCACAGGCTAAAGCAGCAACGGAGGTGGGCCAGAAGAGCAAAATGAGTGCAAATGGTGCTTAAAGAGGAGCAGCTTCAGGGTTGAAGGGGTCGGAGGGTTCACTCAGACCTGTGTTATTAGTGGGGAGGGGGGCAGCTCAGTGATTTTCTGCTTTTAAGTGACCCTCTGTAAAAGCTCCATAAAGCTCTTCTCTCTCTGAGCATCTTATCGTAAGATTCTCCTTGTTGCCGTCTCCCCACTTCATCCTCTCAGCACCGACCTTCCCCTCAGACATTTGCCCGCTTCGTTGTCAGTAACTCTCCGAACGTTTCACCCGGACCAAGACGGAAAACCAACAGTGCAATTTCTTTAACCCAACCCAACACCAAGGATGTGACGATCAAACGGCCCTCTGCACTTCCTGGCTAATCATCTGACGGCTCCTCCCGTCAGCCCCGATGGTCTCCTTCCTCTGTAAATTTGTAGATATTATATATATACATATATTTTTCTCTCTTGCATCTCAAAATCAGCACCTTTGTACAGTTTGCTATGCGAAAGTCAACATTTTCTCATTACATTTATTTAATTTGTACTTTTTTTTTTTTAAACATACAAAAACAATTTGCTAAACCTTTTGGTTCAAGCACTGCCCAACCTTCATTTATGTTCAAAAAGCTTAACTTCGCTAATTGCGTAAAATATATATATATAATTGGACAATTTGAATCTGTGACTGATTTAAATTTAAAATGCTCATTCAGAATGCACAAAATTTATTTTGTCTGCTCGTCAAAGCAGATTGGGCCTTTCTTGTGGGATGATATAGGTTTACTGCTGCTTTAAAAAGGGAAAGAAGACTGGTGTAGAATAAATTAACGTTGTAGGGGGCAGTTTAAATATAATTCACCTTTTATGATAAGTTGCAGAAAGGACAGTCTGTACGGAAATGTAGACTTTATTTGCATTCTCAGTGAGTTCTGTTGTAACGTGAGGATGTGAAAACATCCTTAAAGTAAGAAAAGACCATGTTATGTATGAATGCTGTTAAATGGAGGGAAAAGCTGAAATCCTGAATCTATGGATGAAATTATTATAGTATTGATTTAGATGAATAATATTGTTCTGAGAAATACCTACGTGTCTTAATGTTGTTAAACCCCAGGCAGACGGTCCTACAAATTTAAATAGTGAACTTTGTTTAGTTGTAACTATTCTCTTAAATGCTGTTAATTTGTAGACTCCAGGAAGTAGACGGCACCAATGAAAGGATGGGTTTACACCAAATGACTGCTAGTGAAGAATATTGATCTTGGTTTTACATACAGTACGTGCCAGAGGTCAAAGGGTGATATTTTGACAGTTTCTCATTAAGTATTAATCACATCTCTGCCATTAAAATGTGAAGGAGATTCAAGTAAAAAAAAAAAACACATAAAAGATTATCAGTAACTTGCATTGCCTTTGTGTGTTTTGCTGCCAAATCTGAAAAAAGTCAATTCAACATCTTTCCTGAATAGTTTGGTCAGTCCTTTTTGAATTGCTACTTAGCCTTTTTCATAAACCGTTTACTTTTTTCAAGGTGTCCGATCCCCAACTGATGTGTGCGGTTACATGTGGCTTAACCACTGCTATTCTGACAGTATCGCAGGTTCTTGGAGCACGAGCAGCTAGGAGCTGTCAAAAATCTGCAGAAAAAAAGATTTCGAGCTACTTTTACTGTTCCGAAAGGTGTCGTGTGATTTTCATGAATCAACTGTAAGAACGCAGCACCGGAGGATCAACTGGACCTCAAGTGTTTCTTTTGTCGTTTTCCATCTGCAGCTTGATTCTCAGACACAACCTGTAGGAGTGTGTGTGTTTACTTCATGTTTTACAAACATTGTCTGCACACTGTGACTGACTGATGGATCTTCACTGAGGATGCGTTTATAGGTCAGAACCGCTGCCCCACTCCACCACGATAAATAAGCTTTTGGTTGATGACGAACAAGAATTCATGTGATTAAAGTCATGAAACCCTTTACAACTCTCCTTCTTTATTTGATCATGATAACACATTTGTAACGTGAATATGTTTTCATATACAGTACTTTGTTTAGTAATGATACATTTTGAATTAACAGGATTTATTTTGGGCTGTATCATTGTTGACCAACAGGTGGCACTGTCTGGAATTACTGTACATTAACATTAATTTATTCATCCTTTATTTACACAAGCACCTAGTCTCATTGAGTCACTAGGACTCATTTTCAAGAGTGACCTGTTTTAGACACAAAGTACAGACAATATTCAACATAAGGTTATTAAAAATAAAAGTGTTATATAAACAGTCAAATCAAGGTGGCATATAAAATAAGGTAAAATATTATGAAACATGTTTGGATTTTTCTATTTGCCTTATGAAATGATTAAAATCTAAAGAAATCAAAATGGACAGCTTCAGATCTTGTTGCAAGGTGTTACAGGAGCAGAGTAAGAAAAGGTCCGCATTGAGGGAACGCTGCAGGTAATGATGTCCTGAGAGCGCATGTTGTAACTGCACTGACATGTAGGAGGAGGTATGAAGGCAGCAGACCAAAGTCATTTATAGATGAAGATGTACAGTGTGAGAGTACCTTTAGATAATGATGACCAACTGATCAATGAGTACAGCGATGGGTACGGTAATTAAGGTTTCTTTATTGTCCTTCACATCGCGTGTGGCACACGAGGTGGAACGAAATTGTGTACTCAGGGTCCCTGTTACAATAGCAAAAATAAAAAGTATAAAGAAGCAGTAAATAATCATCTAAGACATACACTAAACGAACGCCAAGATAAAAGATTAAGATCTAGTCACTAATAGTGCAAAACAATACAAGGAACAACAGCAGCACGAACATGAGTCTTTGTGGGTGGATGAGTAAGAATGAATGAATACAGCAGCATGAATCAGCAGCATTAGATCAGCAGCATGGATAATCAGCAGCACATAACCATTAACCATAATTACAACCAATTATGAGCATGCCGTGGTAGACAGCATCCAACATGTGTAAGGAGCTGGATGTCTCTTGTGATGCAAGCACAGTTTATTGGTAAAGAATATCAGAGTTGGATTAATGTCTTCTCATTATCGGCTTCCTTTTGGAGAGCTTAGACTCTGACTCTTATGTTCCTTCTCGGGTGCTGAGATCAACTGCTTGTGGTCGTTCCAAAAACCAGGCTGAAGCTCAGAGGAGACCGGGTGTTTTCAGAGCAATCTGCCCCCCAACATTAGAAAGGCCTTAACTCCCTGCTTTTAAATCTCTCCTTAAAAAACACACCTGAGTACACAAACTTTAACACAGAGTGATTTGATTCATTGTTTGTGTGTTTAAGTTTTTATTTTTTGTGTTTTTAATTGCATCTTATTTTTATTTACCGCCTTGATCTTAATGTTAATCTCTTTAGTAACAGCTGCTGTTTTAAATGTGCTTTATAAATAATTCGACTCGACTTATAAATGTTAAAATGACGCACGTTCAGCATATGGAAGTGCATGTTAAGTGCCTTTGCTGAGAGTTTAATTGTAAAGAGGTAATGGATGATTTTCTGCTCACAAATAAAGAACAGGCTGAGTCTCTTTACAAACATTTAAGCAATAAAAAAAAATCTCTTCAATTTCTTCATACTTTTTGTTTTTAAATTTGCTTCAGCACACCTGCTCCACTTTATTGTCTTCAAATGCTACTTTTAGCTAGCCTTTTACAGCTAACATTTTGCTGCCTTTAGCTTGCTTTTTGCCACTTTTAGTTAACATTTTGTTGCTTTTAGCTACTGATTTGTACTTTAAGCTAACCTTTTACTATTATTAACTTGTAGCCAGTGTTCTTATTTGAGCATTTAGGTACTGCTACTTTAGCTACCTTTAGCTACTCTTTTGCTGATTTTAGCTTTTAACTAGTCTTTGTACATTTAACTATAGTTTTGCTACATTTAGCTTTCAGCTAAACTTTGGTACTTGCTGCTTTTTTAAGCTCAGTTTCGGCTTCTTTAGCAAACTCAGCACTCAGCGTTCACTCTTTTTAAAATGCAGATTTTCTAGTTTTTAAAACGGTATCCACAAGCTAGAATGGACTCTTTCATTAACACAAAGAGTTTATTTTTGCTGTTCTAACAATTCTGTATCTAAAACAAAGTCAAAGCAAGTTTCCCATCATGGTTATAAATAAAATTGTCCTAATTGCATACACGTTTTTGATAGCATCTCAATGGTATGGACTGCATTTATATAGCGCCTTTCTGTCTTATCCAGATACTCAAAGCACTTAACTCTACAATCTGTGTCCTCATTTACCCATTCATACAGCACTACTAGAACTCTACAAAGCTAATTGAACAAATCATTCTAAAGAGACTAATCAGTGCTTTATCACATTCATACACCGATGGGACAAACATCGGAGGCAATGAGGGGTTCAATGTCTTGCCCAGGGACACTTGGGCATGTGACTGCTGGTGGATTCGAACCCCCAACTCTTGCATTGGAAGATGACTGCCACAGCCGCCCGCAATCAGCAGCTTCACGTTGTGCTACACATGTATGTAGTTTTTAAAAGCTGTAGCACTTTGAGATTTTTGTTAATGAAAAGGGCGCTACAAATTAAATTCATTATTATTATTATTATTATTTGGAGCCCTCCAATGGTCAAATACACACCATTTAGCAAGTTTCAACACAAATGTTCAGGCCAACAAATGGTAAATGGACTGTACTTCTGTAGCACCTTTTTAGCTAACCAGACTATTCAAAGCACTTTCCAACACAATCTGCCCTCATTTACCCATCCACACACAATCCCACTGCATTTTCAGTGAGTGTGCTCAGTTAGCTGTAAACTACAATACACCATTCTCATAGAGGTCAAATACTATGCATACAGCATTTGGTTTTATATATGTTTAACAGTGGTGGTAAAGTAGGCCCCACTGAAACATATCCTGCTTAGGGTCCCCAAATGTCCAGGTCCGGCCCTGTCCCACCTCCACCTTGAAGCTATCCGTCACTCCTACAGCACACCTCTGTTCTTCTGTCCTCATAGATGTCCTGTACCACTGCCGCTCCAGATTTCCTCATGCAACACCACACCTCCTCCCTCGACACCCTGTCATATGCTTTTTCTAAATCCACAAAGATACAATGGAGTTTTTTCTGACCCTCTTTGTACTTCTCCATCAGCATCCTCAAAGCAAACATGGCATCTGTGGTGCTCTTTCTCTGCATGAAATCCTACTGCTGCTCACAAATTGTAACCTCTCATAAGTCTAGCTTCCACAACTCTTTCCCAGCTCATCATTGTGGCTCAACTTAATTCCCCTGTAGTTGCCACATCACCCTTTTTCCTAAAACTTATAAAATCATTGATAATATATTGCAGACATTTAAATGGGTGTTTTTGATGTGGTGTTGTCCCAAGCTAATAACTATTAGTCATTTAGGAGTAGCCTATAGGCTACTAAACAATATTGTTTGTTTACCTTATTTTATTAAAATCTAAAACGTAATGTCTTCTAAAGTGTATTTTAACGTGATGCAAAATGGAGGCACTCACTAAACGTTAACGTAAGCAATAATAATAATAATAAAAAGCAATAATAGCAACCTTCAGTTGCAGCTTCTTGTGATTTTCCTCTTCAGCTCCTCATCATCGTCGCCTGGAAACGAGCACCGGTTAAGCCCCGCCCACATCCTGTCTCTAAGCGACCCACATCTTCTCAGTCGCGCCCGGCGTGACGTCAGTCGGAAAACAAAAACAAACGGTTTTCCAGACGCTCGGATTAACGAGGCGGCTCGTTGCCGAGAGGGAGGTTCTCCGAGGAAAAGCGGGACGAAAAGAGGGAAACGAAACAGTCACCGTTAAAAGGTAAAAGTTGCCTCAGAGTGGTTTTTATTGGTTTATTTATTTGAAAAAATAAAGCGTAGTTTGTTTCTCCAGCGGTTAGCAAAGAGCCGCACAGATCTGCGGATGGTGGCGCGACAGTCAGTGCATGTCAGAAGGTCACGTCTATTTTATCCTTGACCAAGTGCAGCTGTGCAACAGGAAACAGCCCACTCAGATTACGGGGAAAAAGCCCACTCAGATTACGGGGAGTTGGTTTAAATACACACTTGTGTTGGTTGCAGTGCTTTGTCTTGTATAACAATTAACAAACCTTTTTTTTTTTAATGTCAGAGATGTGAAATAAAGAGTTGAAATGAGCAAACTTGGCTCTGGGACATGATAATGCATGTGCTAAATATGTAAATTTTAGTTTGACACATTAAGAGTATTAGCTCTTTTTATATATATATTTATTTACATAATATATGTATTTAAAATGATGCTGAAACTATGTTTAAACAATTCGTTGTGCTGTTTGAGAAAGCTATTGCAGCATCTGAGCTCAGTATCTGCAAAGCTGACTGTTTTAGAGCCATGTTGTTGTTGTTGTTGTTATTGTTGTTGTTATTGTACTCTTCCAGATGGCTCACAAAATAAAACTAAGACAAGCATGGGAAAAACAATTGGTTGGTGTTTAAAATAAAAATTAAGTACAGTAAATACCACGACAGTACAAATGTTTCCATGTGCATTATGCCTTTCCAAGAAAGTGTTATCTGATCCATCTTATGTGGAGTTACAGGCTGAGCACTTAGGCACTTAAAAAATGGAGTGAACAGAATAAAAGCATCCTTGCTATTCAGTCAGCAACCATACCACACCTACTTTATCCCAGCACCAAAAGAGCAGGATCTGTTATGAGCAACAATCACGTCAAGATGACATCAAACTTTTAAATAATTTCTAAGCTTTTCTTAGTTTTTAGTAGAAAATAGGGTGTTGTTTTTTTTGTAATTTCCAGTCATATTGCATTGGTTAGCAAAATGCAAATAAAAATTTATTGTTTCATAGAACACAATCATTTTTAAATATACAAGCTGTATGCTGTCAACATGCAGGTCCTTCTGTCATGTTTCCATACGCAATTTCAGAATGAAATAGTTTCAAAGCAGATATTTACTCTTTTTTTTTTTTTTTTATTGAAAGTCACAAAAGATCAGTTTGGTGAAAATATTTTTGTCACTTTGACGCATCTTTCACATCAAACCCACCCGTCACTCTAAACCATTGTGGTTAAAGAAATTAGTTTTTAGCTGCACTGTTTAATTGAAATAGCCAGACATCCATTTATCTCATAGTTATATTTATTTAATACTGAATGATAACATTTAATGAAGACAAATCTCAAGTTGCAGTAAAAATCTTGACAAAACGGGAAACTTAGGTTGTCACTGTCTGTAATAATATCAAGAGTCACAGTTTCTAGTTTTAATTCAGCCTAACCACACTTTAGAACATCAGGTCTGTGTTGAAACCATGGAGTGAATCTGGAGGGCAAAGTTAATTTTGGAAAATTGTAATTGTATACGTTTGAGCTAAATTAACGGAGGGCATGGTAAAACAGCTGAGCCCTATAGACAAAACAGATGCTCCAGTAAGCGCAACGAAAATCACATTTTCTTTTGCACTGTCTAGCATCATAAATAGTTGCCCTCAAGTAACATTTTCTGGTGTAAAGCGATACTATTTGAATAATGTTTTCCTATATTTGCTTCATGTCTTCCTCAAAGGGTGAAGATGAATATGAAGTCGTTTTCTGTCCTGTGTATGTCACTTCTTTTGTTTCACACCCCTTTTTTGCTGGCCAAAAGAGGAGGCGGGTTCGGTAAAAGTTTTGGCTCAAAAAAGGTCTCCACATCCAACCGAGGCAGCACCAACACCAATAAAGCAAGCAACAACAACCAGGGCTCAGCTTCTCAGGGTGGGTATCCTAAGCAGCAAGGACAAAACAACCAAGGAGGCTACCCTGTACAAGGTGGTTACTACAACCAGTATCCAGGAAGAGGGTCCCCTTATGGAGGAGGGTATGGAGGATACCCGGGTGGTTATATCAACTACAACCCAAACAACAGAATCTTGAGCCCTCGCTATGGTGGTAGCTTTGGTTATGGGGGTTATAACTCCAGGGGTGGCTCTCCATTTTCCCAGTCAGTCAGTGCTATGGGTATATATCCTGGTGCCAGATCCAAAGGGTTTGGGAGCAGTGCAGCTATGGCAGCAGCTGGAGGGTCTATGGCAGGAATGGCCCTAGGCTACGGCTTAGGAAGTTTCCCCCGGCCTCATTTCAAATTCCACAACACCCAGGAGGAGTATTATTACAACCACTATATGTACAGGAAATATGGCACCCGTTCCTCTGACTCCAACAACTACAGCAGAGACTATAAGTTCAATCAGCCCCCACAAGGTTATGAGAGCTACATGGACATGTGCATGAAAAGAACAGACCTTCTGCCTGCAAACAACCAGAATTCAAAAACCAGACTACCAGCCAGCACCACAACCAAAGATACTGACTCCAGTCTGGTCACGTTCAACAATAATACAGGCACAACAAAGATCAACAGCAGTGCAGTGGAAAACTCGATGACCCCCGTACCTTCAACTCCCCTCCCTTTAAATCAGCCTTACAACGATCCTAGCAGCAGCGCTGAAGATGACGATACAGTCAGCATCGTGGAGATTGGCTACCCGGCACTGATCGAGCAGCTCAAGGCCAAGAGATGTTTAGAACTCTACATGGTTTACGCCGAAAGGTATTTAGTAAAACAGACTGGAGGAGCGCAAGGGCTGAAGATGAACTGTCAAGGGCTTATATCTGTGATTTCTCTGATGGTAATTAATAACATACTAATGTTGGTGCAATGAGGTCTTAACTTGCTGAGGTATTGATGGAAAATGTGCCACCATAGGATGAGTAAATAATAAAGTAAAAGTAAAGCAGTGGAACTACAGAAAATTAAAGCTTCTTCTACAGGGTTTCCACACTTTTACTAACAATCTTTTTAACTGTGCAAGTGTCATTGACAGAACGAAAAAAATCATCATTCATCCTCCATTTTCTATTTTTCTTGTTTGATTTGCTCCCCAAAACAAACACACTGAGATCAATTCCATTAAAGGGCTTCTAAAATGTAGCTTGTCAACAGCTTTGAAGCGTTGGGGAAAACCAAATCGACTCACTAATTGTTCTGATTGTACGTGCATGCTAAATGGTGATGGAAAATGGACTGTACTTATAGCACCTTTCTATCTTATCAAGACACTCGAAGCGCTTTACAACACAATCTGTGCCTCATTTAGCCACGCATACAGCACTCAACCATATCTATACAAAGATTAATCTGAGCTTTATCACATTCATACACCGATGGGACAAACATCGGAGGCAATGAGGGGTTCAGTGTCTTGCCCAGGGGCACTTCAGCATGTGATTGCTGGTGGAATCAAACCCCCAGCTCTTGCATTGGAGGACGACTGCTCTAACCACTCAGCCACAGCCGCCCCAAATTCTAACTTAATTAAGCATCTATATAAATCGAGAATGTTTTAGATGCACATTTTATACGTTCCCTGCTACTTTGAGTGTAATTTATTATTTATTGGGGGCAGAAATAAAAACTTTGCTCAATGTTATCAAATTACTCAAAGGCTTTTACTCACCTATTGATCTTTTACTCATATCAGCGCTGTACACAGGATTTTTTAAAGTTATAAGCATGAATATTTGTAACGGAACATACATCTTTGATATATTTGCAAATTAAAACATAGGTACACGTTTGAATGGTAAATGTATGACGACTGTAAACGATTGTACTTATACAGCACCTTTCTATCTTATCAAGATCCTCAAAACGCTGTACAACACAATCTGTGCCCTCATTTACCCGTTCATACAGCACTCTACTAGATCTCTACAAAGACTAATCAGAGCTTTATCACATTCATACACTGATGGGACACACATCAGAGACAATGAACGGTTCAGTGTCTTGCCCAAGGACACTTGGGCATGTGGCTGCCATTTTCCTACATCACCTTTTCTAAATATTTTCTAACATTTAGTGTGCGGGTGTTCTGCTTTTGCTTTAGAGCAGAGAATTACGTGTTTGACTCGACTCTTACTTGGCCACAAAAATAGTACTACTAATACTAATAATGGTACTTGATATTATTATTATATAGTACTAATGGTAGTATTATAAAACAGGCATGACGTGTGTGTGTGTGTACAGATTATTAAAAAGAAAACTTAATGTTCAAGTTGGTGCCATCATTGGAAAATACTTTGTAAATATGTAATTATTATAAAAAAATAATTAATGTAACTGTTTCAGTCAAAAGTGAACATAAGGCAGAATTAATGTACCGTAAACTGAAGTACTACTGATGGCCACCAAGAAGCTAGCTCCAAAATCTCTGACTTAAACTGAAATATGAAGTCAAATTATAAATTAAAAAAGCATAATTGTGTAGTTATTAAGCCGAGAACACGGGTAAAACTAGTGTATTACTTTACTGGTGATCCTTGTTATTTAACTATGGTCATTTCCAGTTCCAAATCAGACCAATCACCAGACCATCAACCAAATAAAACCGCTTTAAAACGGCAGTGTAATCACGGTGGCTCATTGCATTTTTTTTATTTTTTATTAATTTTTTCACAGATGCTCATCGATCCCAGAAGAAACTCAGAGTTCAGTCTATAAAACATAGGTCTATATGTTTTTCTATTGGTTTAAGTTTGAAAAAATATTTTATTGGCTACCATCTGGACTCAGCTCTTTATTGTAATAAAAGGAAAGCAGCTCCAGCACATCAAGCCAGATATGAACTCGTTTAGTGAATGATCCGATTGTTGACAGCTGAAACATGTTTTATAATTAATTAAAAACTAACCATGTACCTTTAATGTCAGAATGTAACCCATGTTCTCTGCAATGTAAAAACGCGTGAATCAGAAGTAACTGGACTCAAACAGATGTGTCCAGATGCTGGAAGATCACCACAGTGACATTTTGTTTCTCATAGGACATTTACTGAACTGAGGATTGTTCTGTGGAAACATTTTCCAAAACACCATTTTCTATTAGCAGGTTTAAAAAGTTCACTGGAAGATTTTAACTCTGTAAATATATACGATATACTATAGTTTATTTTTTTCACTATTTATTTGTCAGTAAATGCGTTTGTCATCAGAACACACTGCATGAAGTTAAATCAGTTAAATCTTATTTTTGTTATCTTTAGTTTGGTAGCACCTGTTTCCAATGTATCATAACTGTAATGGCCAACAGAAAATAAATCTTACACAATTTGATATTTATCTGAATTTTCTGAAAAAAATTCTGCTCCATTACACAAGAATATTGATTAGATATTTTTTACATCTAAAGACACATTTTCACACAAAATAATGATTTTTTTATAAATCTAACATCACGTTCACAGATGTTGTTTCCCTAAATAAAGTTAAATCATTTAAATCATGTACCGGTAGTGGACTTCCTCAACGTTTAATTGTAGACTGAAATTAAACAACATTTTTTATTAATTTAACAGAACACAAAATAACTTTTATTACATAAAAATCTGTAAATGTCAAAAATACAGAGTTTCATGTATCTGCATATTCAAAAATAAACATTTTCTTTTTTATACAAACTAGATCAATAAAATACAAATTTAGTGTTACAAATATATAGTAAACAAATGCAATTCCTATTGAAATAAATATATTGTTAGAAGTTAGGACATAAACAGCATTGGCATTAAATCAAGTGAATAGCTGCTAACATGAAGCAAATGTAGTTTGATCATAAAAAAAAATAATATAATGTTTTCACTGTAAGTACCAGATCTAATAAAATCAGTAAAATTGTCATGATTGAAAATATAAAATCAATGACTGCATTATTGAAGAAATGAGTGGTGTGCAGTGCAAATATGGTTCACAAAATCAAATTATGTGCAACAAATAAGATCCTGAAGTGGATTTTCTTCTGATGGATGAAGCTTCGTGTTGAGGTTTCCTCTTGCAGAGCTTGATAAATGTTGGTAGAGCTGAAATAATCAGCTTTACTGTCAAGCTGTGGCTGTTTTTAGTGTTCTGTCAATTTCTGGGAACTCATTTCTGCCTCCAGCTCTACACGACTGCCACCCAGTGGCTCAATAACAGGGACGTTAGGAACCCAATGACGACCACGATACTGTTGTAGATGGGGCCACTGGAGGCCCCAGTGTAGTACTCCATATCCCCGGAGCCCTCGGGCTCATAGCCAGGCCTGGGGCCATAGCCACCTCCGTACCGTGGTGGACCATACCCTGGCCCATATGCCCCATAACCTCCATACCCATACCCGTACCCTGGTCGGCTCAGAGCAGACCCTATCATCGCTCCTCCTATTGCTCCTGCAGCAGCTGCCCCAGCCACCTTCCCTGCACTGGGGCCACTTCTCTGGACAGGAGCAGGCCTGTAGGACTGACCACCCCATCCCCGGCTGTATCCACCACCCCCTCCACGACCAAACCCACCAAACCCACCGCCTCCACGCCCACGTCGGGCCTCGGAGCTGGGGAACAGAGTGCAAAGAAGAAGAAAGCAGAAAGCCGCTGAGATGGGAAGCTTCTGCAGCCCCACCATGACTTTTACCTGTGAAAATAAGAGCAAGGCACAAATTATATTCTGCTTACAAAATATGTAAAAAATAAAATCCTACAGTGACAGCACACGTAAAGTCCCGTCAAACTTAAATTAGCACGTTCATCTCAAAAACTATCAGTAAGTTGTAGAGGCTAAGCTACTGGGAGTTTGAATAGACAAAACTCTTTCATGGTCTACACAAATTAATAAGATCGTGGCTAAGATGTGCAGAAACATTGCTATAATCTGGCGTAACGCACATTTTATGTATCTGGAAATAAGAAAATTAGTTATACAGTCTTTAGTTCTTTGTCATCTTAAATATTGTTCAGCTGTTTGGTCAAGTGCTTCAAAAAACGTGGATAAACTGCAGGTAGTTCACAATAAAGCTGCAAAGCTAGCACTCTGATGTCATTTTAGAACAAACATCGATTTCATGCATCAATGCCTGTCATGGATGAAAGTTCGTGACAGACTAGCATGCAGCCTTCTTCTCTCTTTACACAAAATCTGGACTTCACATTAACCGTTAGCCTTTTCTCAGCTGTTACCCACCTGCAATAGACATGCTTTTAATACTAGACGTGCCTCTGTTAATACCTTTACATTACCTCTGCTTAGGACTAATGCTCTCAAAAGAACAGCTGTGCATCGAGCTATTTCTTATTGGAACATGCTGCTTTCTGTAATTACATTAATTGCCGATCATGTTAATTTTAAAAACGATCTTAAAGAAATCTATAATAGATGAAATAAAACTGAATTGATGAATTGATACATTTACAATGGAAATTAAAATTGTTAACATTGGAATTGGTGAATTTTTGTTTTTAATTCTTGTGTGTTTTAAAGTACAGTATTTTGTCATTTTGTAATGCTTGTAAAATGTTGAGACGGTTGGTTTGACTTTAATATTGTGAATTTGTTTTTATCTTAAGTATTTTATCATGTATTTTTGTAAAAGCTTGATTTAATTGCAATGTTTTAAGTGTGGACCCCAGGAAGAATAGTCTCTACTACGGTAGAAACTAATGGGGATCCTTAAATAAACAATAAACAGCGCTTAAAGTACCTAAACATGTATTTAAAAGCAAAGACTTCATCTTGTCAAGTAAAGTTACTAATATGGTCAAAACTGCCTGTTTTATAAGTACATACACATACATGCTCCGATATCATTTTAAATTTATAAGCATTTTTATAGTTTGTTCCTGTTGCATAACTGGTTCTTTGGATGCACATTTGTGACAAACGGATTAATGCACTCAGTGCAGCTTTAGTCCCTCGCTCTGGTATTTTTACTTTAGTGGTATATTAGGAACAGTAAAGAAGAAGGCTTTAATCCAGCTTTGAAAAACACGTCTTACGTAAGCAGCGCAGCACAAACTGACAACATCTGACATCAGATCACTCTCAAACTCCATGTCCTTTGAATTAGGATCAACCAGATTAGGTCTGGTTCTGGATCTGTGGACAAGACTGGCTGGACCGGTAAACAAACATGACACAACCCTCCTGAGCTAAATAAAGGCAAAAAAAAAAAAATTATATAAAAAATAAATTAAAATGTACAAATCTAAAGATGCTCCCAGATTTGAACCAGTCACTGCTACATATACCACTAGAACTTTAAAATTAATCTTGTTCATTTTTCACAGCTGATTTTCAGATATTGTAATATTTTTAAGTTATTTTTTACTGTGCTTTATTAAACAGACACCACTCAACACGTTTCCTAATGATGCAACAATATATGAATGCACATACTCTGGTACAATATGTTTCTTTTAAAATATATAACTTATCAAAACATGACAGCGTTCGCTCTGCTGTCATGCTCTAATCTGTCTTTTAAAGTGATTAAGCTATAATTACACTAGGTCACTCAGATTACAGCTGCCATTGTCCAGATTAAGAGAAGTTGCATTTGTGAAGCACATTATAATGTAGGATTTAAAACCCAAACCTGGGGAAACAAAGATTTTGGCTCACTAAATATAAATTAACATTTGCTTAAATAAAGGTGATTGTTTAAAAAATGATTCAATCTCACCTTTCGAGTGGCTGTTTGTGAGGAAAACGGCGCTTCAGATGATCTTCCTCGACGCGTCGCTGCTCCGACTAGGAAAGTTTGGATCCTAACAGCTTGTTATCCTCGGATCTCCATCAGGCGGGCTCGTTTCACAAACCCTCATTGGCTGAGTGAGCAGTAAGCTGCTGAAGCTGCGACATCACTTAAATACCTGCAGGTGTAAGTCAGGTCACATTTGTGTTCCTAACTCGGCCTAAATTATTTAACCTTCAACTCAGAGAAGAAACCAGAAGAGCTAACGAGCTCTCCTAAAGCTCCCACGGACCATTATGGGATTTTGAAACCGTGGGATTATTTCCAACAGATTCATCATGTAAGAATCTGGAAATTTCTTTTTAACTCATTGAAAATGTTTTGTTACTAACAAATAAAAGATGAGATGAGAAAAATGCAGTATGTACATATTTTCCTTCTTTATTAAATAATCACTGTATAAAAACATTAATTTTCCAAATAGTGGCATGAGTTGTTCACATTTGAAAGCATGTGTGTTGTAAAGGACAAAGCAGGAAGTCAGGAAATGAAACATCTTCTGAGGGTGTACTGTAGTCCATAGTAAGGTTTTGTAAAGCAACGCCAATGTTAAATTCAGATAATGCATAAAAAACAACATGATGAGCCAAACTATGTCAAAAGACAAGATTTTGACCATCTCATGTCTGACTAATATGAAGCTACAGCGAGCAGCTGGTTCAGTAAACACGTCATGAAAAGTGATAACCTCCATCTGTATAATACAGATAAATACTGTTTAATACAATTAAAACCGCCTGCAGCTCAAAGATCACAGATTAGTCTTTCTTTTGTTAAATGTTGACAGAAACACAAACAAAATGTGTATACAGGTATCCAATTTCTCACCACGCTGCAGATCATGTGCCATTTCTATTAAGAGATAAAAACAAAATTATTTTTGTTTTAGATTGTAGTTTTCACAGGTTTCCTCAGTGATCAAAGTGAATCATTTCATCATGTTTACAGCCTTACCAGCTGCTGCTTGGACACAAACACAACACACAACTCATTTTCTTAGAAAGAAAGCATTTTTTAACCAAATCACCTAATTGTTCTTTAAACGCCATCTAAAAAAATAAACATTCGATCAATATTTCTGCAGAAAATTGTGCCCATCATAATAAACTGATGGAAAAAAAAGTTTCTAGATTTGACCACTTTCTCATTAAAAAGGCAAGGTTCACCCCCGCGGTGCATTATGGGACTGAATGAGACCCACAAAGTATCTGTTCTGCTTGGTGGGAAAGCTTTGTGTTCTGGTGTGGCTCTTGAGTCACGCACATTCCTTTGAAAGTTTAATTTGCTTACAAATTTAAACGCATTAAATGCAAAATATCTGATGAAGGCTTGTGTGTTTTGTGCTTGGAGAAACCTTTAAACAGGCAACTTTGTAAAAACATATAAATCTACGTAGAAATCTTGTGCTTTAATTTGATTAGAATATTATCCAGTGGGAAGACAGACGAGGGAACATTTCATTTTAGGCTCAATCAGCTCATTAATAAATAAAAATGGTTAAAAACACTCGGATAAAAGCAACATTATTCTGTCTGTTGCATGTCATGTTGGACAGAAAGCAGGGTCAGGTGACCGGTCGTACCTCTGATGATCATGGTTCACAGGAAAACATTCAACAGATGAAACTTTAGTCAATACATTTTCATTAATTAGGCAGAGCAAACTTAAGTTGTTGATTTCTTCGCTCCAAGTCTCAGAGGGGAGGTTGAGACACGGACTCAGAACAGTTTGGTGAGTTGGAGGAACTCCTCGTCATGAGAAGATCACATACACTTTGCCCCTTCTGGAAGACAACGAAGCTGCTTTTCAATGATACACCGCAGGTAATTGTACCTAAAAGTATAAAGTAACGGAGATAAAATGTCAACTAATGGTTGGAAAAAACAAACGGTAATCCGTTTCTAAATTTCATTACAGTTGATGAACATGTTTCGATTATACTGCTAGGAACATTGTTTTTAGTGTTTCTGCTACCTTCTTCTGAGTTTCTGCACCTCTCGGTCCTCTTCTTCCTTCAGCTTGGTGATAAAACTCTGAAGGACGGGCATCTCAAACTTGATATACTGCGCCACCTGGTGGAGAACAGCATCATTTACTGTTGGACCTCCAAAGAACAAGAAAAGTTCATAACTGGACAGACACATGCAAAGATTTCAGGTACAGGGTGACTCACAAAAAGAGAGCAAAGTATTTATCTGGGAATCATATATTTGTATCTAAACCAAAGGTCAATGTTGTGATTTACATCGTACGTGACTTCTTCGCCCAGGTCTTCTTCCATGAGGAAAATTTTGCAGACCTGCTCACATGGACCCTGAATTATTCTGAGCACCAAGGGATAGTCCGTTCGTTTCAGTTTCACACGTTCTGAAACAAACAAAAACATCCAAACACATAAACAAAACATTGTATTTACACAACATACATGAACAACACATTCATCCTGGACTGCTAGACATCCAATGGTAAAACAGTAGTATTTGTACACGCAAATTTGAATGTTTTATTGAAAAAAAAATATATATATATATTTTCCAAATTTGCATTCAGTGTTTTATACAATACGTTGCTAATAACAAAACTAATAAAAAATGCATGAAACTAAATCTACAGCAGGTTTATACAGTTTTCCTAATTAATTATTGACAGTGTTTAAACTCAGCTACCATCCAATTACACAACTTGTTTGTTCACAACATGCCCCAAAACAACCAGCAATATTTTAGATTTAGTAAACGTTCTGCACAAATCTTTTAAGGGCGTAAAATAAATGTCAATAACCTTAAATAATCAAAACAACCACTAAAACCAGAGGTGCACAGTTTGTCCAACAAAACTACATTAACACAACCTGTATTATTGCTCTAATAATCCAATGAAGGCAAACGGCTGAATGCTACTTTGACCAATGTTTGTGTGTCATTATGGTTCATTTTTAAAGAAACCAACTTTGACCTTATCAACCAAACCAGTGAAATGTTTACTCAGTGTTCATACTTTGTGTTTCATTTACAAACTTCATGTAATGTTGTCCTTAACTTCAGGAAGTGAACGTGCCACCAACAGGGATTTTTACAAAATAAACATGTTTAAAACAAAGTCTACGTTACAAACAATATCTGTGCCAACATGTTTCCTGCTGTATTTGAACATCTAAGCTGTGCAGATTTCAAGTATTTGTCAAATAAAATCAATCAGTGGCTCAAGGTCAGAAAAATACATTTAATTAAAAACTATAAAATCCAACTTTTACGCACAAACCATTTCCTGGGTAAAGCTTTAAAATATAGAGCACTTGAAACAAAACAACAAAATTAAGTCGCATTCACCTCCACTCGTATGGACGAGGTAGATCGCAAAATCATCCGGGCTGTTTTCAATTTTGAACTTGTTCAGGAGAACTCGGAGCACCTGAGGTGTGGTCATGCAGCTGTTGATTCGAACATTGGTGACTGAACCGAACGCAGGTGTGAACACCGCTGTCTGGGGAAAATAAATAAATAAAACGCATAAATGTCTGTGTAAATATCCAACTGTTCAAAGCCAAACACTGGTTGAAACTAACATTATCACTTCAAAAGAAGCAAATAAACTGTCTGCTGAAGCTGCCACCTTATGGTTATAGAAGTGTCCGTTGATGGAGAATCGGTGACGTCGGATTTTTCTCTGGTCGCTCGGACTCCTTCGCTGGCCTCGTCTTAAAATTCCAGCATCGCTCTTGGTCCTGAGAAGCTGAGCGGAGCTCTCGCTGTCCTCTACCGTTAAAAAAAACAGATCGCCTTAAATTATTATTAGTTGTTGTCAGCGTCATAATATTTACAGTTCCTGTTGTTGAGGTCCAACATATCATATAATGAGGTATATATTATGTTAATGTAGACAATTTTCTGAATTTATTCGTGACGTTAAATATAAACAACTTGTAATGAAAGGAATATAAATGAACATTGTTGTTGTTGTTTTTTTTACATATTTTAACAAACACAAAAGCAAGGACTCCAGTCAGAAAGTCAGAAACAAACAACCACTCACGCTCTAACTCACTCACACCTAGGGACAATTCAGTTACCAATCAGCCTAACATGCATGTTTTTGGTCTGTGGGAGGAAACCGGAGTACCCGGAGAAGGCACGCATGCACGGAGAGAACATGCAAACTCCACCCAGAAAGGCCCCCAGCTGGGATTTGAGCCAGCAACCTTTTCACTGAGGCAACGGCTCTACCAACAGAGCCATGGTGCCGCCCTAAATCTTACATTTTATCTGAAAATAAAGTTTAAATAAATTTCAAAATGTTTTTAGTTAAGATTTCTTGATAATGAAAGTAACAAGTTTAGGGATGAGAGGTCACGTTGTCTCTGAAAGCTGATTAAAATGAGCTTGATTGAGTTTTAGAGCAAAATTGTTTAATTTATTTATCAAAATTTAACAAATTTATACTCGTAAATTACACTTTAAAACAATGCAAAGTTCATTTTTCTTGTCAGATAAGACAAGAATCAAATAAAGTACGATTGTGTCACATTTGCAGACAGACTACTGATTTATGCTGTTTAATAAACATGAGATATAAAATTAATTTTATTACTTGTAGAGTCCTCAGGGCCACTCACCATCTGTGTGTTCTTCAGTCTCATCGTTGTCCTCGGCTTTAAAGTCAGGTGGCGTCACCTGCACAGTGGGCGGAGTCTGTGCAGTCTGCTGACCCTCTGTGTTGTTGGGGGAACTGCACATGAAAATCCCAAGATGAAAACATAAAATTCAAGACAATCAATAAAATATGGCAAAACAGTAGACAGCTAAACTATTAACTGCAGCCCCAAGTATACAATGTTAAATTATTTGATAAATCATTTTAATTTATATTCAAAGTTCTGAATATAAATAAGAGGTTTCAGTGCAGAAATACAGAAACTTTACCTTTGAGCTATTATTGCAACTGTCTGAGTCACTGGTAGAAATATTTCTTCTGCTAGGTCCAAACAGTTTATAAACCACTTTACAGTCATGAATGTAAAAAAAAAAAATGCTGTTAAATTACAGCTTGTGATAACTGTTTGTGGTTGCAGATTATTTTTGTTGTTGAAGTAATACCTACTATCAGCGACATTCTGAAAACATTCACTGTCAATATGGATGAAGAGGATTTTAAACTCATCTTTATTTTGGTCTTTTCCCCGTCCTGTTCAATGAGAGCTGCCTACAACATCTCTCTTGCTCATATCGAGACTTGTGGAGTTAAAGAGCTGAAAATGGGGATTAAAGCCCACTGACACAAATCTGTTACTGATTTTAAAAAAATCCTAAACTCAACCAGAGATGTGCCTTTAAAGGGTTTTTCTTGTTCAATGCATTCAGTGTTAAAATAAGCATCTAACAAACCAAATCAAACAAAATAACAATAATTTTAACCTCAATAAATACAACTTTATCTCTATTAAAATTCATTGGACATAATCCATATTTGCCCTCAATGGCCTATTATAGATCCCCCTTTCCAGTCACTGAGGTGAAACTAAATCTGTCTGGTTCACTTACCCTTGACTGTCCAGATTGCAACCAGAGTGCCAGGACGTGGAGGAAGGTGGCGGTCGGATTCGCTCATGGTCATCCTGCATCTGAAGCCTGATTGGTCGCCGCAGGCCCCAAAAGATATTTAACAAGCCCTCAACAATCAACTCCTCTTCCTCCTGTTTGGAGACAGAAACTTTAATCCATGTACAAAGACACACACACGCTAGAAAGTTATTGCCCCTATGAGCTCTATGTTGTAATGGGTTGTGTGTATTATGTTACAAAAGAGAACTGGTTAAGAGGGATAAGGAGTGGAGACAAAACTGACCATTAAAGTAACAGACGGCGTTAACTACTCACTTCTCGGTGCCGCAGCTGAAGATTCTGTCCCTCGTAATAAAGGTTGTATGTTTTAAGATGTGAGAGGACCGTTGCCCTGAAGACAAAAAAAGCTGAATCACTGAAGAGAAAATGTTGATTATAGAGAACAATGTCATGGATTTCAGCTGAGTTGTGCAAACACATCACTTAGCTTTTTAACAGAACACAGCAAATGAGGTCAGATTTGTTGCACAGACAAAATTTAATGAACGCCCGACTGAATTCATACATTTAGTTCTGCTGGGCTTCATGTCCAGCCCCGTTTCTGTCAATGACTTTTCTTGACCTTTTATTTTGTGATAAACTTGCTCCCATCAGTTCTTGGGACACTTTAAACATTCTGCAGCAGAAAATAAGTGCCAGAATGCAACATTATTTTCCTTATCTCAGTCACACTATTATGTGATGAAATAATAATAACAAATCTGAAAATGACTGTTGTGACCAAACTTTTTGTTGCTGCAAAGGTTCAGTTAGCATTGTTCAGCTGCTCTCTGTTGCTTTTCTGAAGTGTCCTGACAGTAAAGTTCAAAAGGTAAAAACAAAAACAAATGTGCGTTAGAATAAAAAAAAACTGATGAAACTGGTATTGTATTGATCACTGGACTTCATTCTACTTGTTTCTACATGTAAAGCAAGATTCCACCATTTGAAAACACTCAAACTATTTTAATTTGCTTGGCAGCTTGAAAGCAACAAGAGATTTATGAAGAAAATGATTCGGCTTTGATAAAAGTCTTAAAAATGCCCTGCAGCTACAACACAGACCCTTCAGAACAAGAATTCTGGGGAAAATATTTATAAAATGTTTAACATTAACACTTTTTTTTTTTTACAATTATGTGAAGGGATTTGAATGTTTACATCACGGACAAGAAATCTTACTTGCTGATGAACTTGTTCTCCCCGATCTGAACCCCGTTCCGTGTATTATCCATTCTCTGTTAGCATGAGAGGAGCTGAGAAACAAAGAAGCAACAGAGTTAAACGCTCATCTGTCTCATGACTCCTCATGACAAACTGCGAGCACCGACTCAGAAAGGACGGTCTGAAGAGGAGGGAGGCGACAGCAGGAAGAGGAGGAGGGGGTTAGGCTCCAGACCGTAAACAGAAACAAGAGATTGTATCTACTTTCCTGTCAACCATTATCCTCAAAACAAAATCATAACATTTATTTAATGTGTCGTGGGGCAGCAAAGCAGCTGAAATTCACATTTTCTTATTTTGTCTTTAAATTCCTGCCACTTCCCAATTTTTAATACCCGTCCGTCTCCAACATGCGGCACGTGCAGCTGTTTAACACTCTGCCTTCCCTGTGTTTTCAATGTGAATTTGGCAGAACAGAATCCTCCGGAAAAGGATAAACAGGTGCAGAACATATGAGCCACCTGCTGCTTCAAATTATTTCAACTGCTTAAACATAAACTGACAGAACATGCTTATTACACAAACTGCTCCTTTTGTCCCAGAAATTAAATCCACTTGAGACAACTCTTGAAATGTATTTACATTTTGGTGAAACGCGTTTGAAATCAAACAATGGATGTTTGATAGTTTTTTAGGAAGTAAAGTACAAACATTAAAGGCAGCGCTGGTTACTGGGTCAGTATGTCAAGACTGAAATAACTCTTGAAGCGTGGAATGTGCTACTTTTGATTAACTGGTGTTTAAAAGCATATGTGGTCATAATGTGGTATAAATGTGTTGTTGGAGTTTAATAGCTCTTACCGTGGTGACGAGCGGTGATTGTTGTAAAGTCACCAGAGATCAAGTCTGTGAGGAGAAAGAGCAAAAGGTTGAACAGGTTGACTTTGGATGTGTCCTTAAGTCCGAAGTTGTCAAGATTTAGTTTTTAAAAAATGCCACACGGGTCTTTTCTTCAGAATGTGAGGGCGATCGGGTGTGGAAGAGCAGGGGACGTTTAAAGGAAGTGCTCCCCTTCTGTCAAATGGCTTCCTCCTTGACTCAGTCACACAGGAAACTGACACGAACACCAACAAAACTTCCTCAATTCAAAGAGCTCTTCAAACACGATGCTACAACAATTCTCGTCTCTGTCTCATTCATTCAGTAATCACACCGAATGCTCTGAGACCCGATACGCACCTACACAACCTTTTAAACACGGTGCTGGTAAACAACCCGAGGCTGACAATCTGTAAAATAAATATGGACAAATTAAATATTAAACACCAATCAGCCAAGTCTCATGCCAAGATCCATCAATATTTCAGTACCCATATTAGGCCCATGAAATGCCCAAAAGCTCACCATTGACCCAGACAATGGTAGTCATTAGCCTTTAATATCATCTATCATATATTAATGTCAAAGGCAGCTTCGCTCAAAGACTTGATGATGTCAGTGGTCTGTGAGAGACGTGACCAGCTGTCAAACCAAAATAAAGCCGTCATCATCGGGGATCTACACCGTCATCTGATAACAAAAACCCTGATCCAATCCATCTGAGGTAATGATCCAACCAGACTTTTCACTTTTCCAGATTTTAACCTTTTATAACTTTAACGTTGTGCCCGCTGAATGTTTTCCATTTGTAGGACAGTTCTGATCAAATCACAGGACAGAGCTCGGAGTTATTTCACTGTAAAAATTACGTTACATAAGGCTGATTAACCCTCAGTTTATCTGGGTTGTAACTTGGAGACACGGCAAAATATGTTCCTGGCTGTAAAAACAACACCGCAGTCAGCTGGGGGAGGCACAGTTTGCAGTAAATTTAAAAAGTGTAATGCAGTGGAGTAAAATACAGCAACTTCAGTAGAATAGTCTTAAAAAGTACAGTTTTCATTACTGTTAAGAAAAGTGGTGTACAACGCTTTATTATGATTATTTTCTTACTGAAGCTTGGTCAAAATGAGTCGACCATGAATGGTATGTGCTGATTTAAGATAAGTGCTATGAGTTGTCATCGTTGTATGGCTGACCAGATTTAAATGATCTGTTTGGGGTTTTGAACACACATCAGTCATAAATGCAGGCAGACTGACCTACGGCTGACCCGGTTCTGTTTCACATTGCAGCAACCTTCTGTGCTGGAAAACGGTGCAGATGCAGTTTTCATTGAGTGCCTGAATTCCCCTGAGACCCATTACACCATAAGGCAATCCTCATACTCCATTTCTCCTCCTGCGCCTCATTCGGCTGCATCTGCTTTGTTATGGCCCACAGTAAGTCAGGATTAGAAATGTCTATCGTAATTATTTTTTTTTATTTCAAATTTCTTTTTGCTGATGTCTGGCTTTCCTTGTGAAAACGTAGAAACCTTCCAGCACACACAACTTCCTGACTCGCCTCCTCTGGCTCTCTTGTTGACACACATGCCTCCTTGTTTTCTGCCCTCTTGCCTCCAAACCTCCTTTATCAATGTCTTTGCTGAACAGCTCAGAGACTCCTCCAATCCTCTCCCAAACCCACAAACAGCACCTCCCCTCAGGCCTCAGCCTCATTATTGTCACAGCAACGCCAAGAAAAAACAACAAAGCTCCAACAACTGGCCCACTAAACCGAGCCAAGAATAGTGGTCGTCTCTCCTGCTCCTCATTAGTCAAAAATGCCACGAGATACAACTTGAATCTAAATTAAGCTTTCAGATTGTCCAGATCCAGTCAGAATTATTCCTGAGCCACTTTTACAGATATTGAGCTAAATGTGTGGTGTTTGTCAACTGAACTGAACTGAACTGAAATTGTAGCTAAGAGTCATTCCCAACCATTACATCACATTAACAAGATATACTTTGAGCACAAACTGATCAAATGGCTGCTTTAAAACTTTTTCACTAACTATTGAGGTCAACTGTGTCACTCTGTTAGGAAAATATCCCATAAACCATGGGATGGATTGTTTTTGAAACTTTTAGAAAGGAATTGTTGATCAGTTTGGAGTCAACCTAATTCAAGATGGCTGCTACAGCCAACTGACCTTAAACACAAGCTTGTCTATAATTCAGTCAGTTTATAGATATTATAGTGTGGTATGCATACTTTGGGTACAACACAATATATACAAATATACACAAAACTTTGTCACCGTCATACCCACCATTGCACCCTGTACTCACTGGTCATTAACTTCACACAGACTCTCTCACTGGTACATTTTCATCTTTAAATCTCTTCTTGGTCTGCTGCCTTCATCCATATTCTCCTACATATCTCTGTATGAGTGCAGCTACAGCGTGCGCTCTCAGGACATTATTACCTGCAGTGTCCCCTCAGTGCAGACTGAACTAGGCAAAAGGACCTTCTCCTAATCCTCTCCTGTTTCCTGGAATATCTTGCAAAAAGATCTGAAGCTCTCAACCTTGACCTCTCTAGGTGGCTTCAAACATCTGCTAAGTTCATGGCAAAAACCAATGCAGACATGTTCCCGTTTTTAGTTTTCTACATCGCTTTACAACCTAGCTGCTTTTGTTTTGTTTGTTTTAATAAATTTTCTTTAATTTGTTCTTCTCGATTTGTATGCTTTTTATGATCGTCTACTGTTATCAGGTCTCTTGTAAATGAGTCCTCGAGGCTCAATGGGACTAACCTGTATAAATACTGGTTGAATGAACTTTCACTAGCATCCGTCATCTTGAGTTGGCGTCAACACTGTTTGTCTATTAGCAAATAATCACATCAACCCCTGGATAAATTTTAATGAAAATTTCAAGAAATAATCACTGGCTGTATATCTACAACTGACTAATTTGACTAACCACTTATTTAAGGTGGTTTCAAGGTTTGACCACTGCTTAGACGCTCTTAGGCTCTGGCATGAAAGGCTGAAGACAAATATTAGGCCTTTAATTTACTTTGTTTTTGTAAAGGTTTATTATGAAGTTTTGGATTCTGGACAACTTGCTAAGGCAAAGCAAAGACATTTCAATGCACTCAGAGAACTTAAATGTAGGTCCAGTTTGTGTCCTGACATTAAGAACCACAACAATTAAATTCAATTCAGTTTATTTATGTAGCGCCAAGTCACAACAGAAGTCATCTCAGGGCACTGAACAGAAATATTCATATATAAAAACAATAATTTAACACTATTTATCTGAGGAGCAGACTGCTTTGAGTTTAACTCCATCACAGAACTCTCATCTTGAGTAAGCATGAAGGCGACAGTGGAAAGGAAAAACTCCCTCATGAGGAAGAAACCTTTAGCAGAACCAGGCTCAGGACAAGCGGCCGTCTGCTTCGACTGGCTGGGTTTGGTAGGAACAGATACACAATGGCAGGTGAAGAATCACATGTTAAGATAGAAATAGTATCAAATGAAAACTATTCCATTTTAGTAAATAATTTAAGGAAATTAGGTCAATTTGTCCTCCAGTAGTCTAAGCTTAATTCAGCATAACAAGCCAACCCTAATTATAGGAATTATCAAAAAAGAAAGTCTTCAGCCCAGTCTAAAAACTGGACAATGTCTCAGCCTCACGGACAGAAACTGGAAGTTGTTTCCATAAGAGAGGAGCCTGATAAAGATCTTCCTCCCATTCTGCTCTTGGAAACTCTAGGGACCACGAGTAAACCTGCAGTCTGAAAGCGAAGTGCTCTGTTAGGAAAATATGGAACAATAAGATCTGTAATATAAGATGGAGCTAGGCTGTTGAGAACTTTGTATGTCAGAAGTAAGATTTTGAATTCAATTCTGAATTTGACAGGAAGCCAATGGAGAGAAGCTAACACTGGAGAGATGTGATCTCTCCTAACTCCAGTGAAAACTCTGGCAGCAGCATTTTGGATCAACTGAAGACTTTAAAGAAGTATTTGGACACCCAGTAACAAACCATTCGTAATAACAGAAAATATTTGACCAAACAGTCCCACCAGTAAAGGAATGGTTGTATATAAACTGGATTAGAAGCACAACAATCACTTTATTTGGGCTCTGCCTCTCTGTAGCTGCCATGTGTAACGAGAGAATAGTTACATAACGTTTTTACAAATACACAGCTGTGTGCACTCCCCCGTGATGAGAAACGGGTCAAATTTGATGGGTTTAGTTAACATTTCTTAAATCTCATTTCGGTATCTCCCCTCCCCATCAAAAAATAAAAGAAAATCACCGCGACAACCAGACTTTTCTCTGCTCACCCGTCTCGTTTTCTCCTCGGTCCTCCTCCTTCCGCTGCGGCTCAACCGTCTGTTAAGGGCCGACCTGAAGTCTTCTACCGTTGGAAACAATCAGCAGGGCGCGTGCGGCTTGGTGTCCACAGGAGAGAAGAAGAAGAAGAAGAAGAAGAAGGAGGAGGAGGAGGAGTTGAGGTCCCTCTGTTGTGGCTCGCAGCAGAGGAGAGTCGAAGACAGCCAATCAGAAAGCGAGACCGACGCGTCTTTGTTCGAGCTGCACGCGGAGATGAATGAAACCATGACAACAATAGGACAGCTGGCGGGAACGCGCCTGTGTTTATGAACACTCTGTTGTTAGTCAATGAACCTACTGCGGGTGTAAAATATGACTAAGGTCACGGAGTTTTTACCAAAGTCCTCAAACACGTTATGGTCGCAAGATGAAAGTTTCCAAAAAACAAATCTGCGCCCAATCTAAAATAAATAAATTCATTCATTCAACCTTTATTTAGAAAATAAAAATACAATCAACACAACCAAATTACACATCGATTACGCTACTCGTGCTTGTTAGGCAAGTTCCAGTAAGTTTTGGAAATGGAATTAATCCATTACAACGATTTGGATAAAGATAATACCAGATATGCCTCTCCTGATGCAACCGGGGCTCGAACCAGCAGCCTCAGACCCGAGGTCGGTGGAACAGCGGTTCCATGTCTGATCAAATCCAATTTTAAGATGCAAAGTCACATTGATGAGAGGTTTTCAATTATATTTGTTGTGGCTAAATCTACTCTGCAGGCAAAAAAATGGCCCACGTTGGATCCCCCAAAACTCTTAACTCCTCCACAACCCTAAAAAGAGAAGTCCAAAAAGTTTAATTCATCCATGAATACTTGATCATGTACTTGTTGACATTCTTTTAGTTTTATTTAAAAGGATAAACTTTTACATTATTAGTGTTTAGTATATCTTAAATCTTTTAGCGTACCGTTTGGTGTTCGTTTAGCATATATTTATAGATCCTTATATAGTTTCTTTTTACACTTTCTATTTTGCAATTGTTTGGTGTAATGGGACCATGAGTATAATTTCGTTCTACCTCATGTACCACGTGATGTGAATGACAGTAAACTTAAATTGAACTTTTAATTTGCTTTCCACATCTATTTCTATACAAATTACAGCTTCCCGCTGTGGTAAATTAAAAACAAAACAAATGCATATCAGATCAGATTGGTGACAAAAATTAAGATTAAAAAAAATCTGAATTTATTGCGCAACATCTTATTAAATAATTTTCAGAACAAAGAATAAATCATTTTTAATGTTAGTTTACACAGATGATGTTCCAGAGTGTTCTGCAACATTAAATATACACCTTTTATTTGTTTTTACATCTATTTAAAGTTTCTTAGCTTGTTCTTTGAATCATACTGGTCATGTGTAACAAGAACAGAAAACAAGAATAAAAAAAGAAAAAAGAACATGAAAAGGTCCAAAAGACAAAAAAAGATTCCATCAAGTCTCAGATTACTAATCGTTACTTATTAAATAATAAGTACAACAAAGTGGTGCGCTTTAAAGCATGATTTTTTTTTTTTTTTTAACAAATATATGCTCGTAAAACCTAAACACATGTATATATAAAAAAAACGTAAAAACACTTTACAGAGAAGTATGACCTTCAGGTAGAGTCCCCCCCTCAAAATAACTGAAAGGGATTGATGCTGTGTTACACACCTTGTGGACACCGTCTTAAGAGCCATCAAACGGTTAAACTGACCTACAACGTCAGGAAAAACCATTAGATTTTACTGTAACTGGGTTACTTTTGTAACAACACATAAAACAGGTTGAGAGTTAGGAGTTCACATCAACAGGAAGCTGCTTCTAGGCACAAAGATGTCTCCTGTTCATCTTGACGTTCTGTGATAAGGCAAGTTCACTCAGCTGCCAGTAAACAGCAGGCTCTTAGAGGAAGGTGACCAGCAGGCGTCTTCCTCCTGCATCCACAAACATGAAGGCTAAATAAAATCCCAGGGGATAACCAGGAACATCAAATATGACAGAACATGACCATTGCAGGGCCGAGGCGGGCGGGGCAGTGCGTGTAATGTGAGGGGGGAGCTCACGACAGAAAACAGGGTCACATAGTGGCGCAGGTTGTCACGAAAAGAAAAATAAACTCTCAGAAGACGGCTGCTCTGACTTCTGCTTCACCACTGGAAGCTGCTGCTGCTGCAGTGTGGGCAAAAACGTCAGAAGCGGCAGCTCCCGAGCTGAAAACATCACCAGTGATGTGTTTGTGTTTAAATCGTTGGAAAAGGCTGGTGAGGCTTCAAGTCTACAACCTCCATCTTATTCAGACTTCAGCACCTGAACGTTTCTTCCGTCTTATCCAGCACCATCGTTTTATTTGACTTCACGAGACTAAAGTTAAAATTCAACATTTGCACAGATCCAGTCACATGAACTAGAACTTTCAGACACACACACGTGTTTTTTCTTTGCTGGTATTTAAATATTTGAGCCCAAACCAACTGAGACATCAACAATCTGATCGGTTAATTAGGTTGAATCTGTTTAAACTCCAGCCCGCTGGAGCTTAATGAGTCGTGAACGTTTCCACCAATCAGTGTGAAGAGTTTGATAACATTCATCCCCATCGCTGCGATTTTTAACTCAGATTTCAGACGCGTCTGAAGAATCTGTGGAATCAAACGACAACAGTTAACATTTATTTGCTGCTGAAGGCGGAGCAATGTTTTTAGCCGTGTCTGTTCGTCTACACCGAAACGTCTTCGACCGATAAAACCAATTGCTACAACTCAGCTAATTTTACAGATATCGAGCTAAAGTTTGGTGTGGTAGTAGCCGACGTGAAATATACTCGCTTAAAACGGTGACATTTACTGTTGGAGTCAACTGCTTGTTAGCAAAATATGCCATGAACCACTGAAGGGACTGTAATGAAACTAATGAAACGGCTGCGTGTCTACAACTGGTTAACTTTAACTCAAGAGGGCTGCACTAATCAAGCTTAGACTCCAGGAAAATGACTTTAAAAGTGTATTGTACAAATAAAAAGCTAATATTTGGGATGAGATTGAGAAGTTATTTTCAAGGTTTGACTAAAATGTCTCAGCATTAGATTTTTTTTTTGTTTGTTTAAAACTGTGGCATGAAAGGTGGTGGGCGATATGCATTCTTCCAAGGAATGTTAGGCCCTTAATTGACACTTTGAGACAATCATCTGTTATGAACTGCAGCGGTTCTGTACGGTCAAATAAAGCAAGTTTTAAAGCTAAAGTTTAATAATAATTTACTCTTCTGAAAGTATTCAAAACAGGCAGTGATTGGTGCATAAAAAAATGAAAAACAAATGCATTACTTGCATTAATGTTATATTTCAACTAAACTGTGACCAACTCTATTACATCTAGCAGAAAAAAGGCCACCAGATCTGTGCAACTTAATTTTATTTTATTTTTACTTTAATGGGCTAAATAGCCTCTGTAAGGTGTAATTCACTGCTGGATAAAAGGGAAGAAAATAGGTAAAATAAGTTGGATGTTACCAAGTCACGGAATAAGCAATGTATACTAATCAGATACTAAAACCAACACAAATACAGAGAAATACAACCCGTTGTATTCTAATCAGTAAACAAAACAATACTAATGAAACTATTTTAAGGTCCAGGTTAACGACATTTACCCACTCGGACCCCTTTTTTTTCTTGGCACCATTTTATGTGCAATTAGTTGCGGTAAAAAGGCCCTGACTGAAATCTGAACCAATAATTTAGTTGGACATTTAAAGTGTTTACATGTTTCTTTAAATACAATTTGCTACAGCAGAAATGGAATGGAATAGAAGTAATTCTTTAAAAAAAAAAAAAAAAAGAAGATCCAAACATTTTCTTAAAAACATGCCGAGTACGTAGCTGAGAAGTAGCAAAACACAAGTTTTTTCAGGACAGAAAAATAGAAACTGATAAATATAATTTAACGCTGTCCCATGGTGGGACGTATAAATGTGTTGCAAAATAAAAATAAAATAAATCAGCCCTTATAAATAAATAAATAACTTCAACAGGAGAAAAGTAGGGAAGTTTATCAGTAGCAACAAATGTCTATGTTATAAGTTTTGCCATTAGGTAACAAGATAGTAAAATACTAATAAAAAAGAGATATTTTGTTGTTTTGGTTTGGTAAAATCTCAGATAGCATTAATATTTTTATAAGCAGGCAACTGTTTATAGTTGCAGGACATTTTGTTTTTGTCTGTGTTTCAGGTAAAGCAGCAGAGGCACACAGTGTGGTCAGATGAGAGATTACCACCTCTTTAGTCACACCTTGGCTAATAAGGTGCAGGTTTAAAAGGTGCCGCCAGACATCAGACATGAGTATGAACAAATGCCAGCAGTCAACTATGGTATTAATTACAGCAGCGTGAATGAGGGAGGTGTGAGGGGAAAGTCATCGGCATGATGAACTCGGTGAAAACAGCTGCAGTTGTGATGCAGAGAAGGAAAAACAGACATTTTACCTCGAATAAAACCACCATCCTAACTACAGAAATGTTAAAAACACACCGACAGAAACATCAAGGTTTGGATACCAGATTACTGCTAAGAATGAGCTAAAGAGAGACCTCGAGACAAAACCCAGACCAAGGATCAGCCATCTGTGCAGTCACTGCACAAAGTGAATTAACTTCTGTTAATGTTTAACCACTTCAAGCCTACTGAGCAGCGCCTCCTCTACAAGGCCACGTTTGTTACCGTGTGCGTCACAATAGAGTTTATAAATGCACTGGGTCAGACACATTTTAAAAGCTCGTCTTATTCAGCAGGAGCCAACACGTAAAGCCAACAAGTGTTGCCAAACAAACATCAATGAATCACTTCCAAAAGCTCGATTCGACGCGTTTTCATCGTTCAGTAACGAGCATTAATACTGACACAGTGAGGAGATGTAAACTGGCGTGTTAGCGATCCTTTTGCCAAGACTTATGGGAAGTATTCTAAACTTAATCAGTCTGTATGTAAAAGAAGACAGGCATGAGTTTGTTTAGTATGAGATGAGCAGATGTGATGTGCTGGAAAAGTAGTATCTCAGTGAGCTGAGACTAGTTGGAGACTCCGTCTCGACTCCACGCTGCGAGAAAACACACTAATTTTCAGTTGCAGTCCAA